ACCCGGATGCACCAGACATCCCGACCCCGCGCACTTACGCTGAGGCGATGGCGGGTCCCTACTCCTCTCAGTGGCAGACAGCCATGGACGCAGAGATGGCTTCCTGGAAGTCCACACGCACCTACGTCGACGAGGTTCCCCCACCTGGGGCGAACATCGTCAGTGACATGTGGATTTTCAGGGTGAAGCGGCCACCGGGTTCTCCTCCTGTCTTCAAGGCGCGCTACGTGGCTCGAGGCTTCAGTCAGCGAGAGGGAGTTGACTTCTTCCAGACCTTCTCCCCCACCCCGAAGATGACCACTCTTCGGGTGCTGCTGCACATAGCCGCTCAGCGCGACTACGAGCTTCACTCACTTGACTTCAGCACAGCTTTCTTGCAGGGCAGCCTGCACGAGGAGATCTGGCTGCGCCGCCCACCTGGCTTCACTGGGTCGGTTCCTCCTGGTACCCAGTGGAGGCTCCAGCGGCCGGTCTACGGTCTCCGCCAGGCACCGCGTGAGTGGCACGACACACTGAGGATGACACTTGCGGCTCTTGGGTTCGCTCCCTCTACTGCTGACCCGTCACTGTTTCTACGCACAGACACCTCGCTGCCGCCGTTCTACATCCTCGTGTACGTCGACGACTTGGTCTTTGCCACTGCTGACACCGCGGCACTCGCCCACGTGAAGTCGGAGCTGCAGAGGAGACACACGTGCACAGACCTGGGTGAACTGACAAGCTATCTTGGCTTGCGGATCACCCGGGACAGAGCACGGCGCACCATCACCTTGACTAAGTCACACATGGTGCAGCAGATCCTTCAGCGCTTCCGCTTCACGTACTCCTCGCCCCAGTCCACTCCTCTGCCTACCGGTCACTCGCTCTCAGCTCTGCCTTCGGATGAGTCCGTAGAGCCGAGTGGCCCGTATCCAGAGCTTGTGGGCTGCCTCATGTACCTGATGACCTGCACTCGACCTGACCTTGCATACCCTCTTAGCATCCTTGCACGCTATGTCGCTCCTGGCCGTCACAGGAAGGAGCACATGGATGCCGCTAAGAGGGTGTTGCGCTACTTGTGCCGTACGTCGGGCATGGGGCTAGTGCTTGGAGGGCGAGACCGAGTTGTACTTACTGGACACTCAGACGCTTCTTGGGCGGACGACCAGGCTACTCAGCGGTCGTCTCAGGGTTACACCTTCAGCCTTGGCTCCGGCTCAGTTTCTTGGCGTTCTACACGCTCTTCTTCTGTTCTCAGCTCCAGTTGTGAGGCTGAGATCTACGCCACAGCCATGGCTGCCCAGGAGCTACGCTTGCTGACCTACCTGCTGACCGACTTGGGCGAGCGGCCTCGTTCTCCTCCAGTGCTGTACGTCGACAACCAGGCTGCCATTGCCTTGTGTGAGGAGCACAGACTGGAGCACAGAACGAAGCACATCGCCCTGCGGTACTTCCTTGCTCGAGAGCTGCAGCAGCGTGGTCAGCTTTGTCTGCGTTACGTGGCCACTGAGGCCAACCTTGCTGATGTGTTCACCAAGGCGCTTCCGCCTTGTGACCATCAGCGTTTCTGTACTCTTCTAGGCCTTGTGCCTGCTGGTCCTTACTTGCTTACCTCTTGACTCTCCTTGTACTGTGATATTTATATATATACTTGCATATTTACACTTGCTAGGTTGCTATCACTGTATCTCTTGTTATATTATCAACCTGCATGTGAACTGGTCTTGTGACCACTTGCTTGTGCTCGGAATTTGTGTGGTATCCTTGAGATCCACCCTGAGCTTGTTTTGCTTTGCTTTGACTGGTCTTGTGACCCTTTGCCCTCCCCCACTTTGCCTATGGGGGTGTGTCAAACATTATACATGTTATATTTGTGTAGGCTATAGTGGGGTAGCCTATAGGGGTCACAACATTAGGGTTTCATATTTGTACTCACAATCCTTTCTAGTCCATCATTCCATTCCGTTATCACTGACACATTGATGTGGTCGGGGTACATATAGAAACCCTAACAGATGTACCCCCTAAGACAACCCTCACTACAGGCTACACATTTGACATTTTAGCATTCTCCCTAAGACACTCATGGTAATTGTTATGCGTTGTCGTCGTTGTACCAGTACAATGTTGCGTGTGCTCGTTCGTGTTTGTTATAAAGTGTCATGATAAAGTGTGTCGGGTCTGCAATTGAGGTGGGGATCGTTGTTGGGGCAGCGTTGCTCGCCTTAGCATACCGGATCCATCGCTATTGTACGGTAGCACCGATGCATTTTATCTTTCACTTTATGACATTTGCTGCTGAAAAGTGTTGTCGTTAGTATGTTCCATAGATGTAAATACCATATTTTGCATCCACGTCGAATTTGTTGTCTCATCAATTGTGTTTGATGAAAAATATGGCAAGGCTACCAATTGCTTTCATTCGCCGTATTTATCGACGATTATGGAACAATTGGTCTTATTTGGTTTCACCTTTTTTGGAGACTCTTGTGTTTCAGTGAAGTCATCTCCACACATTTGAAGCGATCGTTTTCAAAACGTTAAAGCGAGTGCTTCAGACGTCGGGAAAACAGAAAAAAAATGCACTGTTCATTCGAGTCGACCGGAAAAAGTGCTACCAAAATGTAAAGGGTTGCTACGCAACCCAAAAACATTAATCATTGTCCAATTGATTTTCATGCTATGTAAATGATTTTCACAGGCAAACAACACTTTCGCGTTTGAACACTACATATATGTTCAGCTCAACAGACAAACACCGTCACAGACCACGCACAAATCGCTCCCCTTTCAGCAATGTTGGTGTTGGGCAGATTCTCCGACCCGTACAGGATGAGTAGAGTATGGTCTGACAATGATATACATTCGTTCCACAATTCCTTGATTTTGGGCACTGGGCAGCGCCTCAACGACTAGCTGATTTCTATTCGCGCCACTACCTAAAATTTGGGGGGAATGAGACCTGACAGCGCCGACATGGAGCTTTCCACGCTGGGTTGCTACTGCGTGCTTCTCACCTGGACTCACCTCCCCCTTCGCGCTTGACCAATTTTACCTTTCGGAGATTCATTCCCGCCAAACCCGCAGCAGAAGTGTGTAGGCAGAAGCAAAGCCGGCCAACACCTGTGCAGATCTCCGCACCTTACAGCACCGTTATGAATTAAAGTAAAACACGGAAGAATCACGGAAAAGAACTAGGCGACTCTCTCCACTTTCCCACAATACCCTCTTTCACTTTTGGGCTAGAGACGAAAAAAGACGCGTGATAGTGAACTGTAGAGTATTTTCTATGGACAAGCAATGCACCTTGCCAGCACGCACGAACTGCCCACCTTTCGCGGTTTGGCTCCAGCCTGCTGTACTACAAGACTCCACTGCTCCTGGCAACATTTCGTGCAGTACGGACCAATGAGTGACCGCCATGGCTAGCTACAGTGGACCATGCCACTTTACTATTATAGTTGTTGAACCGAGAACCACAACACTCCATCGGGAGTTATTTATATTTCACGTTGACGTCACGTGACGCCTCGATTTTGGCCCGTTTTAGGGTCGTCGGACGGCCGACACTCACCTGGTTGACATCTTGGCCTCCAGCGGGGTGACTCATACCCCCATCCGCCGCGTTTTCCGGCTCGCGTAGCCGCAGCGAGCCGAGTGCATTCGTGCCGCCGAGTTGGACGAGGACTTGCAGGGAAAGTACGATGTTGTATGGGCTGGGTAGGGTACTACTATTCGAGCAATACTCGTGCATCATTTGCACTGCCAGCACAGTGTCGAAGCAGCATTTTTCACCAGGCGCGCCGCAATGGTGATTCACGCACAAGGTCGTTTGTCCAGCGGACAAAAGGGCACAAGTTCCCAAGGTCAGAGTGTTTCTAGTCAACAGGTGCTTCTTGATAGCCTTGAAAACCGCTCTAGGTGCCCCCTTTTTTCGTCAGAGTTTCTCGTCGCGTTTAGAGGACGGCTGGATGGGCCACGCGCCGCAGCGCGCCCTCGTTACGACGCTTTGCCTTGCGTCGGCTAGCTGTTCCCTCCCCCTTCTCCGACGCGCCAGCAGTTGAAACGAGCGGGAATCTTGCGCGACGTGCATAAGACGCCAGTGCTAAGTCGGCGCCAGCCTGTAACAACATGCAAAAACCTCTAGTTTTACAGTACTATCAGACAAGTGAGCGAGCCTAGAAAGTTGCCCTTGGACTTGCGCGTTCAGACTAGTCTGACGGCCGAGTTATTGTCAACAGCACAATACCTGATGCCATATACACGGAGCGAGCCGAGCACATCAGTCAGACATCATTTCGAGAAGCTTCGACGAGAGGATTTTCTCAGCACCGTTCCGCTAAGCGGAGTAGGTGGATTGGAGCGCATCTCAGGGTCGGCCGGTCGGACTAGCCCTCCCGTTCTTCCATCTTACCACTCGAGCGATCAAGTCGATCAAGTGTATATATAAGACGCTGCATTTTCCACCTGCACATAGCTTGGCGGCAGATCTCAGCGTTATTCAACAGCTTGTTCTACTACTACGTCCGACGTAGCCAATTTCAAGAGGAGCCGTTGCCACTTGGTTTGGTGGATCATTTCCGGCGACTCCTCTCTCTTCGCCCGGTTTCGAGCATATCTTGGAGGCTGATAGTACCCGCCTTGAGCTCGGCCCCGAAACGAGAAACATAGAATTTCATTTTTTCTTCTCAATGACGAAGTCAAGCAAGGGCCTGTGGGGGCATCTGGACGCGCTTCGGGGAACTAGCGACAAGCTCGCGTGCTTGCTGCTCCCCGACGGCAGCGTCGAGATGTTCGGCGCGGGGAAGACCGTCGCGGATATCATGGCGGAATATCCGGGTTACCACGTCGGCAGCCTCACGTCTTCCCGCCCGCGTCTCCCGCCGCAAAAGACGCTGCGACCCGGCAGCACATACCACCTCACGCCGGTTGTTTCGACTGATGGGGAAAACGACCCGTTTTCCCCAGGAAGAACTAGAGGGGAGGGGACTCCTCGACCGCGACGTGAAAGCGCGTCGTTTATGCGACCTGTTACTACTACGGAAGCGTTCGGCGAAGTCGCGAACGATGGTGCTCGGGTTCGCGGCGAAGGGTCGAGCAGGGGCTCATCGCGGCGAGCGTCGCTGGATCCGGGCTCGCTACAGCGGCACGCCGCGGGGGTCGCAGCGAACGAGCACCCGCCGGCGGGTGATCCCTCGAGATCCGTTTACGGGCCTCCCGCCGACGCACGGAGGATCGCAGCCAACCGAATCGCGGCCCGCGGAGTCGCAGCCAGCACTTGTGAGCGCAGCGATGGTTCGCGCAGCGCTGACTCGCTCCATCACGCACGGCTGCGAGGAGCAGCTGAGATCGTCCGCGGAGGAGACAATGTGGGCTCCGCGAATGCAGCACGGATACGCCGGGATTCAAAGCTCGCCAAGCGTTCAAATTCCCCAACAGCCGCCACAGCAACAGCAACAGCAAGAGGACGAGGAGCAGCAGGAGGGAAGCGCAACGGAAGTTGCTGTGCTTGAGCGCGAACTTCAAACATTTCGTGGTAACCAGAGGAAAATGGCAGATTCGCCTGCTGCTACTGTTATCCCAGACTTCGCTGTTTGTTACGACATTGACGAAGATGTCAGCGACGCTGGCAACGTTTCGCGACGAAAGACCACAATGTCTCATTCTAAATCGCATCCCCGCGAAATGTGTCGCGAATGGGAACCTGTTCGTGCTGGTGCAGGTGGTCCATCCCCCGAACCCTACATCAATGCCACCACGACTTACCACTCCCAACCCTTCATTTCCACCGCGGCGTACCACTCCCAACCGTTTCGTCATACCATCAAATCCCCCCATTCGTTCTCCTCTCACCGTACAAGCTTCCAGCAACCCATAAGTAACGGCAGCACAGGGGGTAGCTGCGGCAACAGCAGCCATTTCAGTGCCGCTTCCGTGCGCTCCGCGCTCATGTTCTCATCTCCCTCTGCCTCCTCCTCCTCCTCCTTCGCCTCCTTATCTGCTTTCTCGTCCTCCTCCATCCAGCTGACGAGCCAGGAGTCCCTCACGCCGTAGAGCGTGAAATGTTGGGACCTTGTACTTAGTTCCATCTGCGTTTCACGCCCCCATGGGCCTTGTACTCCCCTGTATCCTCTCGCTGACTGCTTAGACCCTCGCCAGCATCAGCCAATTAGTGCTATAAAATGCACTTGTTACGGTCCAACATCCTAGCTGCACCCTGTCACGTGTTGCTGCGCTTGCCAGGACAGGGTGGTTGGACAACAAGGAGGATGAGGTTCGCGGCTAAAATCTGCTATCTTCGCCCGTTGCTTTTTGAAGTATTTTTTCCGGGAGCTGGCTGTGCATTGTTCCTGATAATGGTATTCCCCTCTAATGCTTTTGAGGCGCGGGTGGAGCTGTTTACGGTGTAGTTTGCTGTACATTCCTTATGAACCTGTTCTCCATGTTTTTGTGTTGCTGTACAGTTTTGTGATGTCACCCTTGTAAGTTCCATTATGAATCTAGACTCACACAACTACCCGAGAGCTGTAGAAAAGATGAGGTGCGTAGATTCTATCAAATCGAGTGAAATGACAGCTTGGGCTGTGAATGACTGCGGATGAATGAAATCCTGTTTGAACTAGCTCAAATTCCACAAGCTAAATTTAAGAACTGGTTGTTCTCTACGTACTCCATGTAGCAAGCCTTTGCTTTAACTACGGTTCGGGTAAGAGGCACTTACTGGAGCACCAGTTTCAGGCGAGAATTATTGGAGCTCGCTTGTTGAGGGCGATTTCTGATTCGCTGTGACCGCGGTTTGAGTTTCAACACGTTCCACAGAAGCGGATTGGTTGGCAAACGAGGCCAATGTACATTGGATACGCGGTTCGGTAAACATTGTTCCTCGGCACATAAATCACGTTCTCCAGGCCAAGCAATAAAAAATCACTTAGCTTTGCTTGCAGCTTATTGCTCCTGCCCACCACAGATTTTCCACAGTGCCATTTCTTTCCTCCTTTTTGCACGCACTCTTGAAGACTCGGTAACTGCTTTCGCTGCGGACGCTCGTCCAAGAAGTCTCGTGCTCCACCACATTTTCGCTAATCATGGGGCGACGAGAGAAAAGCGGTATCAGTGGAGCCTTGGCTATCATTCTTGTAATAACCATTTCAGGTGCGTTCCTGAGCTCTTCGTTCAAAGCATTGGCGACGTTTCTGACGACTCTGACGAACGTTCCGTTCGCACGCACAATAGCCGTCTTGACGATCGTCTTCCTTGAGATTGCCCTAGTTCATTTCCCACACTTTTGCGCGATTCATGTGACAAGTATTCTCCTGGCTGCTACGCACAATTCCCACCGGAAAATACAATACCAACGTGCCTTATCTGCTCCAACCGTTTACCTTTTTCCCGTGCAGCATCTTCCTGGCAAACAGCACGAGCGTTCGACGAGAGCGGCCCCAAGGTGTGGCGGAATGCCGTGGGCACCCAGCAGCAGCAAAATGCTGGCACCGTCCAGCCGCAGCAGGACGCCGACGTCACCCAGCCGCAGCAGAATGCCGACGTCACCCAGCCGCAGCAGAATGCCGCAGGTGAATGGCCGCGGCTGCTCGTAGAGCAACTGACTGACGGCGGCGACCAGCAGCAGCAGGATTCCGGCGGCGACCAGCAGCAGCAGAATTCCAGCGGCGACCAGCAGCAGCAGGATTCCGCTGGTGCCGAGTCCGGCAATACCGTGACGCCGATTGCAATTGACAACCGCGGATACACCAATACACCCAGCGTTGAAGCTGACCCCGCCAAAACCAACGAAAAGAAGTCCGGCGAAAGTTCCGCGGAGATTGTCGTTCCCTTTGGCGCGAAAGCCGGCCCAGTAGCCGACGTCAACGCCGCTGGCGGGCTCAAAGTGACGGGCGGCAATAACCAGCTGGAGATGAATCCAACCGGGAGTGCCGACGTCAGCTCTGATGTGCTTAAGACCAAAGTTTCGGGGGATGCAACGGGCTCGGCGAAATTCAACCGTGAGGGTGTTACTACCGTGAACGTGGACGGATCCGCGAAAACGAACGTGTTTGACGGCGTCGGAACGGGCGAGGCGAAGGCGAAGGGCAGCGCCGGCATGACGAAAAACGGGGTCAACGCGGACGCTTCGGTTGGGGCGAATGCTGACGTGGCAGGCGTGGGAGCGAATGTGAATGTCGGCGCTGGCGGCGAGTTCAGCAAGAAAGAAGTTAAAGCCAAAGCCGGGTTTGGAATTGGCGGGAAGGTGAAGAACGTCGGGGGCGCAGAAACTAATATCGAATCAACGGCTAAGGTTAGCCGCGACAAAGTTAACGCGAAGGCTGGGTTTGGAGTTGGCGCCAATGTGGGAGGTATCGCGGCCGGAGGTAAGGGTGAATCGACGGCTGAGATCAGCCGCAAAGGCGTGAAAGCAGGGGCGAATGCGGGCGCTTCGGTGCAACTCGGCGACGTTTACTCGAGGAGCTTAGACGTGTCGGCTCAGGCGGAGCTGAAAGGGCTGGGATTTACCCTGAATGTGAATCTTGTCGACCAGGCAAAAATTTTGGGCGTGAGCGGAAAAAACGAAGCTACGACGACTTTGGTGCTGGGCGATCCGAACACGAACGTCCCGCAGCTGGTGGTTCGGCTTAGCAAGGGGATGAGCTGCGTCAACATTCCCGACAATTTCGCCCGTTCGGCGAATTTCGTACAGGTGTCGTGGCGCAGTACGGTAACGACGAACGGAACGACGGAAGAAATTGCGAAGGGGTGCAAAAAAATTGTCGCGCAGCCGCAAAAGGGATGCCAGGGGAATCCGCTGGATAAATTCGAGTTCAACCCTTCGTCTGCCCGCAAGGCCATGAGCAAGTTTTTCGGGTCAGTTTGTCATATACCCCCCTTCCATCCCCCCTTCCACGCTCCGTGGATGTATCTTGCTTTGAAAGTGCGCTTTTCTACAAAAGTTTTATGCACTATGCTTCCCTCCCTCTCTCCCTTCCCTTCCCTCCCCCCTCCCTCTCCCCCTTCCCTTCCCCCTCCCTCTCCCCCTTCCCTTCCCCCTCCCTCTCCCCCTTCCCTTCCCCCTCCCCCCCCCCCCCTTCTCTTCCCCCTCCCGCTCCCCCTTCCCTTCTCCCTCCCTCCCCTCCTTCCCTTCCCCCTCCCTTCCCCCCTTCCCTTCCCCCTCCCTCTCCCCCTTCCCTTCCCCCTCCCCTCCCCCACCTTCCCCCTTCCCCTCCCCCCCCTTTCCCCTTCCCTTTCCCCCCCTTCTCGCTTCCGCTTCCCACCCTTCCCCTCCCACCCCTTCCCCACCTTCCCCCTTCCCCTTCCCTCTCTTCCCCCTTCCCCTTCTCACCCTTCCCCCTTCCCCTTCCCCCCGTTCCCCTTCCCCTTCCCCCTCTTCCCCCTTCTCGTTCCCCCTTACCCACCCTCTTTTCCTCCCACTCAGCCGTCTCTCCTTATCTCCCAACCAATCCCTCCCTGCGCTGCCCTAGATTGGCACCCACACACCCCTTCTCTAGACTCACACTGACCTCGTGTAAAAAGTGAAGTTTTGAGACGTCTCCTAGATTGGCACCAACATACCCCTTCTCTTGCCTCACTCTGACCTGCCCTAGAAGCTTTTTGAATAATCAACAAACTCTTCTCGCACTTTCCTATTTTATCACCTGGTTCCCATCCTCCATTCCCCTACTTCCTCACTCCCTGCCTTCCCCTCTCCCTCTCTTCCTACCATTCCCCCTCTCCCCACTATTTTCCGCCCATCCTCCCTCAAACCAGCAGTGTCTTTCCAAAAAGGCTCTTCTCTCACCCACTTCGACCTGTTTCCCCTTCCTCCGGTTCTCCTCTCCCCTCTTGTGTCTCACCCCCTTGCCTCTCACCGACCGGTTCCCCCTCCCCCCGGTTCCCCCTCCCCCCGGTTCCCCCCCCCCCGGTTCCCCCTCCCCCCGGTTCCCCCTCCCCCCGGTTCCCCCTCCCCCCTGTTCCCCCTCCCCCCTGTTCCCCCCCCTCCCCCCTGTTCCCCCTCCCCCCTGTTCTCCTCTCCCCCTTGCCTCGCTCAACCCATCAGTATGTTCTCTTCACCCTGTTCCCTCTTCCCCCTGTTCCCCCTCACCCTCCTCAACCCATCAGTATGTTCTCTTCACCCTGTTCCCTCTTCCCCCTGTTCCCCCTCACCCTCCTCAACCCATCAGTATGCTCCGCATCAAGAAAAAGGAGGTCGCTCGCTCCCTACCCCCACCCTCCCCCGCCCACCCTTTTTCAACCCTCCCTGCACTTATTCCCCTCTTCACCCTGTTCCCTCTTCCCCTGTTCCCCCTCACCCTCCTCAACCCATCAGTATGTTCCGCATCAAGAAAAAGGAGGTCGCTCGCTCCCTGCGCTGCGTCAACTGTGAGTCCCCGACCCCCATATTCCGCTCCGCCCCCCATATTCCGCCCCGCCCCCATGCTGCTGTTTAAGGCACCTCTATACCACTGGTTTGTTTCTCTTGCTGCTCTAGCTGCTGTGACCAACCCTTCACTACTCGCCTCCTCCTTCCAACTCATTTCCCTTCCCTCGAATCGCTAGAATCCAATGCAGAGAGGCGTGACCTCAAGAGGGGTGTTTCAGATGGCCAGTACCGTAACTACAGCCCGATTCTACAGCTCAACCCCATGCCCGGTTCTACAAGGTGCCTCTAGGGCTGGTGGCTCTAGGAGGAAACTCAGGGTGGTGTCTGTGAGTTGTCCTGTAAAGAGGACAACGGGCAGCAGCAGCCACCTCAGAGCTGAAAAGCTCAAATAAGGCCTGCCAGAGTCAACCAAAGTCAACAGAGATCAACGGTGGTGGTCAACGCAGGTCAACCATATCAGCGGCAGCCAGCTTTTCTCGCCCTTTTAGGAGCATTTCATTTCATCTAACTCATGATTCATCACCCTGCGTCCGATCCCTGCATCTTCCTTCTGCTGCTTCTCATGTGTACCATTTCTACTGTAGTGCCTTCAATAGGCTTCAACTATCTGTATGTCCCAGTTCTATAAGCAATGTACCATGGCCATAAATAAAGCCTTTGCAACAGCAGTTTACCAATCTTGAAACATATGTCGTACAGTACACGGGGTTACACCTGCCCTACAGAAAAGGTCCTACACGCAGCAATTCCTCTCTACTTATCTCAGGCCCATCTTCACATTCCCCTCTTTCCCTCCTCTCAATGACGCTCCTCCCCTCCCACTCCCTACTCTCCCTCTTCCTCCTCTCCCTCCCCTCCCTCCTCTTCCTCCACCCCTCCCTCCACCTCTATCCATCCTCTTCCCTTGTTCTCTTGCTCCTCCTGCTCCTCCCGCTACCCCTCCGGCCACTCCTGTGGCTTCCCCTTCCGAACCAACTGCTTTGGTTCGGCGCTTGCTTCGCCAAAGCAGCCGAATTGGCGTGCCTTCAAAGTCGATATTTTCCCGAAGCTGATTTTCCATGTACCGCTGATACTGCTGCCCGAAAAGTTTCGCGTCGTTAACAAAAAACACGAAGGTCGGAGGGTTAGTAGCCGCCTGAGTGCTGTAGTATATTTTTCCTCGCTTGTTACCCTTTCCGCCTCCGGGCAGCGGCTGAAAAGAAACGGCCTCCCCGACCACCTGGTTCAGCGTGGCTGTTGTGAGGCGCTTGGAACGTTGCTGGGCAGAAAAACGGGCAGCTTCCAAAATCCTGAGGAAAGCAAAAGCGAGAGAAGAGGAACAGATTTATAAGTGAGAGCGAGCGAAATTACATTTGAGCGTGTGTGTGTGTGCGGCATGTGAGGGCCTGCCAATAAGTGTGTGCCATGTTACTTCCCAAATGAGATTTCAGCAAGCAGCACAGAATTGTGTGTGTGCGTCATGCGAGGGTGTTCCAAATAAGCGTGTTCCACGCTGGTAGCAGACCTAACGGTGCTGGTGGCACCCTTGCTATGCTCATTTGCACTTCCAATCACACCCACACTCATTTTGGCAGCCCTCTGGTCTGTCGTTGCGGAAGTGAACACTAGGGGAGCCCAGGGCTTGGAGCGCAGCTACTCCTGCACTACCTACCTCTGTGTAGCTCACTCACTGTGCTGGTGGCGTCTTTGTCTGCCGTACTTGCACAGTATGGCACCTTGCACAGTATGGCACCTTGCACAGTATGGCACCTTGCACAGTATGGCACCTTGCACAGTATGGCACCTTGCACAGTATGGCACCTTGCACAGTATGGCACCTTGCACAGTATGGCACCTTGCACAGTATGGCACCTTGCACAGTATGGCACCTTGCACAGTATGGCACCTTGCACAGTATGGCACATGCAAGGTGGCCCCACAGACACACATGCACTCACAACCACATGCCCACAGATACACTCACTTTGCCACCCTTTGGCCTATCGTGGCTGAGGCTGAGGTAAAGACTAGAGGAGCCCAGGGCATGGAGCACAGCTTCCCCAGCACTGTAGCTGATGGTGCTGGTGGCATCTCTGCTCACGGTCTGCATTACTTGTTGGTTTTTTAGAATTCTCAAAAACCAGCTGGTGGAATCTCTGCTCACGGTCTGCATTACTTGTTCCCCCAGAGACACACACACACTCACGTAGCCACATCCCCACACCCACACTCACTTGGCAACCCTTTGGCCAGTGGTAGCGGAGGTAAACACCAGGGGAGCCCAGGGCATGGAGCGCAGCTTGCCCCGTACGTCCTCTGTATAGCTCACTGTGCTGGTTGCATCTTTGTCCGGCACGGTGTCCCACTTGTTCACTATCACCACACACGCCTTGCCCTCCCTCTCTATCTGCTCTGCTAAGCGTAGGTCCTGGCAGAAGGGAAAGAAAAGAGATAGAGGGATGTCGGAAAGAGATGAGAAAAGAGAGGGGAGTGGGGTGTGTAGCTGACGGTGCTGGTGGCGTTTCTATCAGGCAGAGTGTCCCACTTGTTCACAATCACCACACACGCCTTGCCCTCCCTCTCTATCTGCTCTGCTAGGCGGCGCAGGTCATGTGGAAGGGAAGGGGCGAGAAAAGTGGCGCTGCATGTTGCACACCTTTCCATCATAAGTTCCCTTGCGTTTGCGTCATATGAATGCATCACGAACACATCATATCTAGAATCCCCTACAGTCACAACCTACAAGTTAGAAGAACCTGCTGCTGCAATACCCACCTGCTCTGTGACACACAGCATGGCATCAACAACAAGCCCCACCACGTCCGCCCTCCGTATGGCCCTCAGCACCCGATTCACTGAAATCCCTTTGCCCTGCTGCCACTGCCGCTCTTGACTTTTGAGTCGACTTGCTGCCTGCCAGTCACACGCACCTACAGTCACCCCTCATACTGTCAAACGCACCTGCTCTGTGACGCACAGCATGGCGTCAACAACAAGCCCCACCACGTCCGCCCTCCGTATGGCCCTCAGCGCCCGATTCACCGACAGACCCTCCGCCCTGCTGCCTGCTGCCACGGCTGCCTTCCTGCGCACTCCGGCCGTGTCAATAAGTGTGTACTCCTGAACAGTAAGGGAGAGCAAAGAGAGGGGATGCGTTAGGGGAGAGGAGATGGATTCAGTGAGTGAGGGAGGGAAGGACTCTGCGTCTTGCTGTCTTGTTCTGCCACAGCTGGTCGCCTGCTGGCACCCCTGCAATGTCAATCAGAGTCAAGTCATGGACACATGCACACACCTGTCTTTCCAAACCGGTGAATTTGGTGTCGATGGCGTGTCTGGTGGTGTTGATGGCGTGTCTGGTGGTGTTGATGGCATGTCTGGTGGTGCCGCTGACGGGGCTCACCATGGTCCATGGGATGTGACAGAATTCTGTATCAACAGAGCATGGGTGCATACAAACAAACAGACACACAAAGACACGCACCTGCCCATCTGGCCCGGTGAATTTGGTGTCGATGGCATCTCTGGTGGTGCCGCTGACAGGGCTCACGATGGTCCTCTCCTCCCCCAGCAGTGCGTTCACTATGCTGCTCTTGCCCACGTTGGGCCTTCCCACAATGGCCAGAGACACTCGGCCGAGCTGGTGGGGTTGGTGGGGTGCATGAATAGGGCAAGACAAGCTGTTGAACACAATGGTCCTCTCCTCCCCCAGCAGTGCGTTCACTAAGCTGCTCTTGCCCACGTTGGGCCTTTCCACGATTGCTAAAGACACTCGGCCGAGCTGGATGGAAGGTCGGGAGGGAGCACATGGACGAGAGGAGCACAGAGAGTGTGTGAAGATTAGTTTTGAGACGTCTCAAAACGTCTCAAAACTAATCTTCATACACCGGACGTCTCAAAACGTCTCAAAACTAATCTTCATACACGGGACGTCTCAAAACGTCTCAAAACTAATCTTCATACACGGGACGTCTCAAAACGTCTCGAAACTAATCTTCATACACGGGACGTCTCAAAACGTCTCAAAACTAATCTTCATACACGGGACGTCTCAAAACGTCTCAAAACTAATCTTCATACACCGGACGTCTCAAAACGTCTCAAAACTAATCTTCATACACGGGACGTCTCAAAACGTCTCAAAACTAATCTTCATACACGGGACGTCTCAAAACGTCTCAAAACTAATCTTCATACACGGGACGTCTCAAAACGTCTCAAAACTAATCTTCATACACGGGACGTCTCAAAACGTCTCAAAACTAATCTTCATACACGGGACGTCTCAAAACGTCTCAAAACTAATCTTCATACACGGGACGTCTCAAAACGTCTCAAAACTAATCTTCATACACGGGACGTCTCAAAACGTCTCAAAACTAATCTTCATACACGGGACGTCTCAAAACGTCTCAAAACTAATCTTCATACACGGGACGTCTCAAAACGTCTCAAAACTAATCTTCATACACGGGACGTCTCAAAACGTCTCGAAACTAATCTTCATACACGGGACGTCTCAAAACGTCTCGAAACTAATCTTCATACACGGGACGTCTCAAAACGTCTCAAAACTAATCTTCATACACGGGACGTCTCAAAACGTCTCAAAACTAATCTTCATACACGGGACGTCTCAAAACGTCTCAAAACTAATCTTCATACACGGGACGTCTCAAAACGTCTCAAAACTAATCTTCATACACGGGACGTCTCAAAACGTCTCAAAACTAATCTTCATACACGGGACGTCTCAAAACGTCTCAAAACTAATCTTCATACACGGGACGTCTCAAAACGTCTCAAAACTAATCTTCATACACGGGACGTCTCAAAACGTCTCAAAACTAATCTTCATACACGGGACGTCTCAAAACGTCTCAAAACTAATCTTCATACACGGGACGTCTCAAAACGTCTCAAAACTAATCTTCATACACGGGACGTCTCAAAACGTCTCAAAACTAATCTTCATACACGGGACGTCTCAAAACGTCTCAAAACTAATCTTCATACACGGGACGTCTCAAAACGTCTCAAAACTAATCTTCATACACGGGACGTCTCAAAACGTCTCAAAACTAATCTTCATACACCGGACGTCTCAAAACGTCTCAAAACTAATCTTCATACACGGGACGTCTCAAAACGTCTCAAAACTAATCTTCATACACGGGACGTCTCAAAACGTCTCAAAACTAATCTTCATACACGGGACGTCTCAAAACGTCTCAAAACTAATCTTCATACACGGGACGTCTCAAAACGTCTCAAAACTAATCTTCATACACGGGACGTCTCAAAACGTCTCAAAACTAATTTTCATACACGGGACGTCTCAAAACGTCTCAAAACTAATCTTCATACACGGGACGTCTCAAAACGTCTCAAAACTAATCTTCATACACGGGACGTCTCAAAACGTCTCAAAACTAATCTTCATACACGGGACGTCTCAAAACGTCTCAAAACTAATCTTCATACACGGGACGTCTCAAAACGTCTCGAAACTAATCTTCATACACGGGACGTCTCAAAACGTCTCGAAACTAATCTTCATACACGGGACGTCTCAAAACGTCTCAAAACTAATCTTCATACACGGGACGTCTCAAAACGTCTCAAAACTAATCTTCATACACGGGACGTCTCAAAACGTCTCAAAACTAATCTTCATACACGGGACGTCTCAAAACGTCTCAAAACTAATCTTCATACACGGGACGTCTCAAAACGTCTCAAAACTAATCTTCATACACGGGACGTCTCAAAACGTCTCAAAACTAATCTTCATACACGGGACGTCTCAAAACGTCTCAAAACTAATCTTCATACACGGGACGTCTCAAAACGTCTCAAAACTAATCTTCATACACGGGACGTCTCAAAACGTCTCAAAACTAATCTTCATACACGGGACGTCTCAAAACGTCTCAAAACTAATCTTCATACACGGGACGTCTCAAAACGTCTCAAAACTAATCTTCATACACGGGACGTCTCAAAACGTCTCAAAACTAATCTTCATACACGGGACGTCTCAAAACGTCTCAAAACTAATCTTCATACACGGGACGTCTCAAAACGTCTCAAAACTAATCTTCATACACGGGACGTCTCAAAACGTCTCAAAACTAATCTTCATACACGGGACGTCTCAAAACGTCTCAAAACTAATCTTCATACACGGGACGTCTCAAAACGTCTCAAAACTAATCTTCATACACGGGACGTCTCAAAACGTCTCAAAACTAATCTTCATACACGGGACGTCTCAAAACGTCTCAAAACTAATCTTCATACACGGGACGTCTCAAAACGTCTCAAAACTAATCTTCATACACGGGACGTCTCAAAACGTCTCAAAACTAATCTTCATACACGGGACGTCTCAAAACGTCTCAAAACTAATCTTCATACACGGGACGTCTCAAAACGTCTCAAAACTAATTTTCATACACGGGACGTCTCAAAACGTCTCAAAACTAATCTTCATACACGGGACGTCTCAAAACGTCTCAAAACTAATCTTCATACACGGGACGTCTCAAAACGTCTCAAAACTAATCTTCATACACGGGACGTCTCAAAACGTCTCAAAACTAATCTTCATACACGGGACGTCTCAAAACGTCTCGAAACTAATCTTCATACACGGGACGTCTCAAAACGTCTCGAAACTAATCTTCATACACGGGACGTCTCAAAACGTCTCAAAACTAATCTTCATACACGGGACGTCTCAAAACGTCTCAAAACTAATCTTCATACACGGGACGTCTCAAAACGTCTCAAAACTAATCTTCATACACGGGACGTCTCAAAACGTCTCAAAACTAATCTTCATACACGGGACGTCTCAAAACGTCTCAAAACTAATCTTCATACACGGGACGTCTCAAAACGTCTCAAAACTAATCTTCATACACGGGACGTCTCAAAACGTCTCAAAACTAATCTTCATACACGGGACGTCTCAAAACGTCTCAAAACTAATCTTCATACACGGGACGTCTCAAAACGTCTCAAAACTAATCTTCATACACGGGACGTCTCAAAACGTCTCAAAACTAATCTTCATACACGGGACGTCTCAAAACGTCTCAAAACTAATCTTCATACACGGGACGTCTCAAAACGTCTCAAAACTAATCTTCATACACGGGACGTCTCAAAACGTCTCAAAACTAATCTTCATACACGGGACGTCTCAAAACGTCTCAAAACTAATCTTCATACACGGGACGTCTCAAAACGTCTCAAAACTAATCTTCATACACGGGACGTCTCAAAACGTCTCAAAACTAATCTTCATACACGGGACGTCTCAAAACGTCTCAAAACTAATCTTCATACACGGGACGTCTCAAAACGTCTCAAAACTAATCTTCATACACGGGACGTCTCAAAACGTCTCAAAACTAATCTTCATACACGGGACGTCTCAAAACGTCTCAAAACTAATCTTCATACACGGGACGTCTCAAAACGTCTCAAAACTAATCTTCATACACGGGACGTCTCAAAACGTCTCAAAACTAATCTTCATACACGGGACGTCTCAAAACGTCTCAAAACTAATCTTCATACACGGGACGTCTCAAAACGTCTCAAAACTAATCTTCATACACGGGACGTCTCAAAACGTCTCAAAACTAATCTTCATACACGGGACGTCTCAAAACGTCTCAAAACTAATCTTCATACACGGGACGTCTCAAAACGTCTCAAAACTAATCTTCATACACGGGACGTCTCAAAACGTCTCAAAACTAATCTTCATACACGGGACGTCTCAAAACGTCTCAAAACTAATCTTCATACACGGGACGTCTCAAAACGTCTCAAAACTAATCTTCATACACGGGACGTCTCAAAACGTCTCAAAACTAATCTTCATACACGGGACGTCTCAAAACGTCTCAAAACTAATCTTCATACACGGGACGTCTCAAAACGTCTCAAAACTAATCTTCATACACGGGACGTCTCAAAACGTCTCAAAACTAATCTTCATACACGGGACGTCTCAAAACGTCTCAAAACTAATCTTCATACACGGGACGTCTCAAAACGTCTCAAAACTAATCTTCATACACGGGACGTCTCAAAACGTCTCAAAACTAATCTTCATACACGGGACGTCTCAAAACGTCTCAAAACTAATCTTCATACACGGGACGTCTCAAAACGTCTCAAAACTAATCTTCATACACGGGACGAAAGGAGCACAGAGAGTGTGCTTGCAAATGTTGAACTCACACACCCACCCTCCTTCCCCAGCAGTGCAAGAATCAATCGACCAGGCAACCATCCACTTGAACACGACCCAGCATTCCTCCAACCTGTGTGGCTGCAGCAGCGTCGCTGCTGGTGATGGTGGAGAGGGAGGGAAGCAGTTTGTGTGTCTGCGTGTGTGTGTGTGTGTGTGTGTGTGTGTGCGCGCGCGTGAGTGTGTGTGGTAGCAACCAGGCAAGCGGCCAACCTACTTGTGTCGAAGCAGCAGCGTCGCTGCTGGTGATGGTGGAGAGGGAAGTGGACGATTCGGGTTCCTGCACAGCAAGAGGGGAGAGGAGGAGAAGGGAGGAGAGAAAAGGAGAGGAGAGGAGAGAAGAGGAGAGGAGAGGAGAGGAGGGGAGAGGAGAGGAGAGGAGAAGAGAGGAGGGGAAAGGAGAGGAGATGAGACGAGATGGAATGAGAGAAGAGGAGAGACGTGGGAAATCAGTGCATGGGAAAGCATGGTGGATGCCACTTCTGAGAATTCTCAAAAGCATGGTGGGCGCCCAAGCATGGTGGGCGCCCAAGCATGGTGGGCGCCCAAGTAAAAGTCCTTTTGGTTTGAACTGACAAGTGAATCACAAGTCACCTCATGGCGGGTGCCCAAGTAAAAGAGGTGACTTTCGAGTTGACTCACAAGTCACCTCATGGTGGGCGCCCAAGTACAAGTCCTTTTGGTTTGAACTGAGTGAATCACCACTCACTCACTCACTCACTCACTTTCTCATCACCAATAACTCATCAACACCTTTCACCTCCGTTACTCCTTCCCTCATCACCTTCGCCCCGCTCCGCCTCACCTCCTGGGACGGCAGTGCCTTGAGCAGCTTACGCGGCAGGCAGGTCGCCTGTGCCCGTGCCCGTGCCCGTGCCCGTGCCCGTGCCCGCGCCTGTGCTCGTGCCCGTGCCCGTGCCAGTGCCCGCGCCTGTGCCCGTGCCCGCGCCTGTGCCCGTGCCCGTGCCCGTGCCCGTGCCAGTGCCCGCGCCTGTGCCCGTGCCCGCGCCTGTGCCCGTGCCCGTGCCCGTGCCCGCGCCTGTGCCCGTGCCCGTGCCCGCGCCTGTGCCCGTGCCCGTGCCCGTGCCCGTGCCCGTGCTTGCATTGTGCTTTCCCTCATTCCATTCATCATCACCACCATTCATCATCACCACCATTCCCCTCTGCATTTCCACATTCCTCACCTCCTGGGACGGCAGCGCCTTGAGCAGCTCATCCAGCAAATCGCCTGTGCCCGTGCCTGAGAGGGCCGACACGGCCATTGGGGTGAGGCTGATGGATGGAAAGGGGCACAGGGAGTGGAAGACGAAAAGGGGCAAGAGAAGTGAAGAGGTGGGAAGGGGTGAATTGAGCACTTAGCAGGCCACCCGTGCCTGTGCCCGTGCCCGTGCCTGAGAGGCCTGAAACTTTCCCACACCCCAGCGACCAGAACTCTGCTGTCTGCAGGAGCCCCTTGGTGGGCGACTGACTCGCACTTGTTCACTGCTAGAAACACCGGCTTGCTGGTAGCAGAGAGAGGACCCACCGCACCACGCTCCCCTTTCCCTTTCCCCTTCCCTGCCGCTTCCACTCACCCTAGAGACCAGAATTCTGCTGTCTGCAGGAGTCCCTTGGTGGGCGACTCGCACTTGTTCACTGCCAGGAAGACTGGCTTGCTGCTTGCCACGTGGCGCCGCCGCAGCCACTGAGCAATCTCCACGTCAGCAGCTGTTGCGCCAGCCTGGCAAGGTTTCGAGTGGAGAGAATGTTGAGGGGGATACTGGGAGAGGAAATCATTTGCAGTTCAGATTATTAACCCAAGATTACTTTCATAAGTTTTTTTCCCAGAACCCTGAAAAACCTGCCTGTAAGAGAGATTGTACTGGAACCAATAATACTTCCTTGCCTTTTTTTTTTTTTTTTTTTTTTTTTTTCTCGACCTTGAACAAGTTATTACCCACCTGCCCATCCACCACCGTGACGATCACACCAGCCTCCTCCACAACTGTGCCCTAGATTCCTCGTTCTGATCTGGTGCGAACCTTTTCTAACATCCCACACAAAACACGAAACTTTCTAATGGGCTGACAAAAATCTCCCACCTGCCCATCCACCACCATGATGATCGCATGATCGCATCAGCCTCCTCCACGGCACGGCAGCAGCAGCATCACCTCTAGGCTCTAGAGAGAAACTCTGCATCCAAAACGAGCCACGATAACTGCTCCTCTGCATTCACCTAAACATCATCCACCCACCTGGCCATCCACCCACCTGCCCATCCACCCACCCACCTGCCCATCCACCCACCCACCTGCCCATCCACCCACCCACCTGCCCATCCACCCACCTGCCCATCCACCCACCTGCCCATCCACCCACCTGGCCATCCATCCACCCACCTGGCCATCCATCCACCCACCTGCCCATCCACCCACCCACCTGCCCATCCACCCACCCACCTGCCCATCCACCCACCCACCTGCCCATCCGCCCACCTGCCCATCCACCCACCTGGCCATCCACCCACCTGCCCATCAACCCACCTGCCCACCCACCCACCTGCCCATCCACCAACCTGCCCACCCACCCACCTGCCCATCCACCCACCTGCCCATCCACCCACCTGGCCATCCACCCACCTGCCCATCCACCCACCTGGCCATCCACCCACCTGCCCATCCACCCACCTGCCCATCAACCCACCTGGCCATCCACCCACCTGGCCATCCACCCACCTGGCCATCCACCCACCTGGCCATCCACCCACCTGGCCATCCACCCACCTGGCCATCCACCACCATAATGATCGCATTCGCCTCCTTCACAGCAGCAGCAACCTGCCCTCTAGAGATAACCCTGGGTCCTAGTAAGCCACAATACTTGTTCCTCTAAAACCCTCAACCCACCTGCCCATCGACCACCATGATGATCGCATCAGCCTCCTCCACGGCAGCAGCAGCCTGTCGACCAATCAGCTCTGGCAAACCTGCCACCTCAGCCTCCTTTGCCGCCCGCTCACTGGCCAATCGTCCGCCGCCACCTGCATAGGTGTACATAGGTAGTAATCACGCCTTAATCACGGAGGGGAATGAAGCAACTATGGGGTACAAGAAGTGTCCAAGGAAACCGGTCATTACCGGTCGGTCAAACCGAGCTTGCAGCTTTCTACCCGTTTCTCAGTTTGAGAGCAGTGTCCAAGGAAACCGAAAGTCACTCCTTTCTATTTAGTCCGCCCTGACGACAAGTGACCTTTATGGGAGTCCGTGTTAGCGGGATAAACAGCCACATCCACTCATCCATGACAGTGATACCATCCGCCTTGGCCACGTGTAAAGAGTGAATTTTTGAGACGTCTCAAAAATTCACTCTTTACACGCAGCCACATCCACTCATCGATGACAGTGATACCATCCGCCTTGGCTTGGCCAGTGCTAACGATGCTGTGGTGTGGATAAAGCAGATCTTGGCCTGTCCTCCCTCACCCCTCTTTCTCTCTCCCACCCTTGACCTGTCTAGATTCACTTATGTGTTCAAATTTGAGCCGCTATACCTACTCACCGATGACAGCAACACCGTCCGCCTTGGCCAGAGCCAACAATGCTGTGGACGAAGCTGATCCGCGCCCTGCCCTCGCCCCTCTCCCACCCTTGACTGGCTGGATTCAGTCATTCATTCACGTGTTAAAAAGTCACATCCACCCACTCACCAATGACAGCAACGCCATCCGCCTTGGCCAGAGCCAACAATGCTGTGGACGAAGCTGATCCGCGCCCTGCCCTCGCCCCTCTCCCACCCTTGACTGGCTGGATTCAGTCATTCATTCACGTGTTAAAAAGTCACATCCACCCACTCACCAATGACAGCAACGCCATCCGCCTTGGCCAGAGCCAACAATGCTGTGGACGAAGCTGATCCGCGCCCTGCCCTCCCTCCTCTGCCAGCCTTGCCCCTCTTCGCAACCACACCCTCTGCACCATCAGTAGCTGCAGCACTGGCTGCACCACCGCTGGCTGCACCAGCACTAGCAGCGGCAGCAGCAGCAGCAGCGGTAGGTGCGTCCATGAGGCCTCCGGTATCAGTCAGAAGGAATTGCCGGCCCTCCCAGAGAGCACGCGCGTACAGCCTGTCCCTTGTCACCCCTGGCTCGTCATGCACTATGGCTATGTTGCGCTGGGGGGGGGGGGAGGGGTGGGTTTAAGGATGAAATGAACAACATATAATTGGATTCATCAGAAGCAGCAGCACTGGCACAGCCGCTCCCTTGTCACCCTGGGCTCGTCTTGCACAATGGCTATGTTGCGCTGGGGGGGAGGAGAGGAGGGAAGAGAGAGGATGAAAGAAGAAAAAGCAACTATGCTATTGGGATTCAGCAGCAGCAGCAGCAGCAACAGCAGCAGCAGCAGCAGCACTGGCACAGCCTGTCCCTTGTCACCCCGAGCTCGTCATGCACAATGGCTATGTTGCGCTGGGGGGGAGGGGTGGGTGAGGGAGGAGGGGGGAGGAGGAAGCACAATGGCAATGTTGCGCTGGTGGGTGTGGCTGAGCGGGGGAGAGAGGGGAGGAGGGATGGGAAGAGAACGAACAGCCCCATTCAAGGCTTGGCATGTGTTGTTCTCCTTGCACGATGGCAATGTAGCAGTTCTCCTTGAATCACCTAACGGGTAGCTCACCCCACCCCACCCCAACCCACCCCACCCCATCCTACCCCACTCCTCCACCACTCACCCCCACGAGGCGGTTGAAACTTGAAGAGAGCAGACTTGCCCACGTTGGGTCGCCCCACTGTGGCCACTCGCAGCACGGCAACTTTGAATCACTTCAATAATTGCTCCTCCTTAAGAGGCGCCTAAGTCGCCTCACAAGGCAGCTTCTAACCTCCTCGGAAGTCGCACTCACCCCCACGAGGCGGTTGAAGAGAGCTGACTTGCCCACATTGGGTCGCCCCACTATGGCCACTCGAGGCAGCAGATGCTCCGGTACCTGCCAGCCATGCCATGCCATGCCCCCATACCATCACCAGTGGAGTAACGGAAAAGCGGCGTTAAATATCACACATCAATTATCCCATGCAAGCTCCGTTGGGTCGCCCCACTATGGCCACTCGCGGCAGCAGATGCTCCGGTATTTGTCAGCCATGCCCCCATGCCATCACCAATGCCATGCCGTAAAAAAAGGGAGCGTTGTATTGCACACATTGTTTATTCCACGCCATGCCATGCTATGCCATGCAAGCTGCGACCTCCACTCCACTATGGCCACTCGAGGCAGCAGATGCTCTGGTACCTGCCAGCCGCTATGCCATCAAGCCAACGTCAGTGCCCTGAGGAAAGAGCGGACAAACGGAAAGAACCATGACATCATGCCATGCCATCATGCCACTGTGCCACCATGCATCATGCTATCATACAGAAGGACATGTCTAAACCTTGAACTGGACCAAAGTTCACCCAGTGCTGTAGTCGTTCTATAGACATAAAAAAACTAGAGCCCCGAAATTAAACCGGGAACATTTCTGGGCTACTGGTAAGTTAATTACCCTCCCGCAACGTTACCATGATAAACCCTGTACCTTGCCATAAACCCCTGGAGAGGATAGACCGTATGCCTAATAAGCTGGTAGAAAACTTATACCCCAATAAACCCTAGGCCTCCCTCAACCCACGTGCTGCGGCCAGGCGAACCTTCCAAGCTCACCCCCTTCATGACCTCTTTTGAGACGCCTCAAAAGTAGACCCCATACCCCGATAAACTCTGGGGCCTCTTTCAACCCACGTGCTGCTGCCAGGCTAACTTTCCGAGCTCACCTCCTTCGTGACCTCCCGTCGTCGCCGCCATCCCTTGCGCCCGCTCTCGTCCCTCTCCTACTTCGCCATCGCATCCACCTCCTTAAAAGGCGACTCATTCATAACTTATGAGTCTGATAAACCATCCCTATCCCTCATAAATAGACCACGTTTTGTCGCGACTCATAAACCCTGATAAACCCGGAACCTTGATGAACCTGCAAACTGCGATGCACCCGCGAACCTTCGAGTTTCGCCAGATTAACGCGCCGAGCTCACCTCCTCCGTGACTTCCCGTCGCCGCCGCCATCCCTTCCGCCTGCTCTCGTCCTGCTTCTCTATCGCCTTCACAACCACCTTGAGGCGCCTCAAAAACCTTGAAACGCCAGAAACCTCTATAAACCCTTGCGTCCCAACAAACAGAGTTCCGAGCTCACCTCCTCCGTGACCTCCCGTCGCCGCCGCCATCCCTTGCGCCTGCTCTCATCCTGCTTCTCTATCGCCTCCACAACCACCGCCATCGCTGCTCTCTCCCAATCCGCTGCTGCCATCTGTACAACAGCATCATCCTCGTCGTCTTCGTCGTCCTCCTCCCCTTCCTGCTCTTCCTCATCTAAACCCTCCTCTTTTTCTTCTTCCAAATCGCCAAGTTCATCTTCCCACTCTTCCTCTCCGTCCCAGTCCTCCTCCTCCTCTTCCTCTTCCTCATCCGCTTCTATTTTCCGCGCTAACGGTCCTTGCTTCCCCTTCTCCCCTTCCCTGGACCCCTTGATTGCGCGGAGGCGTGCTCCGCGGAATGCGGAAGGCTGCTTGTGCGAGGCATTGGAGTGAGATAGGGAGAGCAGAAATGACGACGGTCGCCGCCACGGAAGAAGCTCTGCTAGCCGGGAAGGAGGGGCGACGGAATAATTGTTTTTCTTTTGGTTTTTGTTATCTGTATCAGGAATCCTTCCGCTGTTGAATAAGGGAGTGGGGAGGGGAGCAAACGCTGATGCATGATCGTTAACAAGCTTAAAAGAAAGAAATGCTTCACGACGCCTCACTAATCGTAACGGCCAGGGGCTTTGAGCGGTCTCTGCCATTTGGATGAGAAAACAGAAACGCCAAAAGGCAAGGCTAGTTTCCATCAACTTTCAGACAGAATGCCAGGTGCTTTGAGTGGAAAATGGTGGCTCGGATCAGGGGTTTCGTCAGGATGAAACTGCGAGAATAAAATTACCAGAATGTAGCTTCGTCGCGCGGGGACAGGTCAAAGATCTGCAGACAGCTAGTTGCGACGAGGACGTAGCCATGGCTGCCTTTATTTGCCGCTAGAATGATGTGAGGAAAATATCAGGCTGTGCACTCACCTTGACTAGTCAAATGGCTGGGGTTGAGTGTCCCCGGCAGTGAAAACCCTCTTTTGACAGAAGAGCAACATACATAATTCGACTGCCTACATGGAATTTGTTTGATGATTGTATGAGCTCGAATTTATTCTGGTTGCGGAATTCGTGTTCACGTCAACCTTTAAATCAACAAGGGATATGGGCTGCGCTTACCGAATGCAACAGCCAATAGTGAGTACTGTCTCAACCACCCCCAGAAATTTCTGGTCGCTTGCTGCGTTCCAAATTCGGATGGACCAATCAGAAGAATGCGATGTTCCCAAGGTCCACCTGGACACAAACCAAGCTGGAAGGCCCAGTGACATCAACCAGGGAAACCGAAGTGATTTCAAAGGCTGCTTTCTGTTGTGCTTCACAGGATTCTGATTCGTATTGTTTTGTGTGCTGATTGGATGTCGTAGGTAAATGACGTCATTCTTCTCGAAAGCAGACTAGCTAGGACCAATGAGGACAATACAGTTGTCGCCATGAAAGAAATCGAGGTGAAATGTAATTCGACATGAATTAAACATCTTAACCTTTCTGCACTAATGTACACGCTCTCCTCCATGTCCATTGGCTTGTAAAGTTGCAATACGCATGAGGATCAGTTGGTTATGCAACTGTGCTAACTGTCAGATTCATGCAAGCTGATCACCAGTATGCTAAGGTGGCTTAGCTCCTAAGTACCTCCGCCGCCGATCACGCTGCTCTTTAGCGATCTTCGTATGCGTACTAGAGGATCATTCTCGCAGTTAGGCCACTGAATCCGGAACATTACCATCCGCGGGTTACCATCAGGAGCGCGAAAATGGCTTTACATGTGCGAATTTCGCTACTTCTGGTTGTCATGATCAGCGTAGCGACGGGGGTTTTCGCCAGCGTCAAACCTCTCCGTGGCGTCCCCCCTCAAGGTGCTTCTGATTCCCTGTCGATCCTCGTCACCGTACTGTAAGCTAGAATGCATTCCACGCCGATCGAATCGTCAGTTTGAGACTCATTCACTTTCAAACTTCACGCCTTCGAAACGGTTTTCCGCCATGGAACATTCACCCCTGTCGTGACCTGGCCATTTGTGATTCGCCAGCTGGACGAGTTTCTCCTACCCGGCCTTGCATGCTTGATTGCGAATCTGGACGGCCTCTAATAGATCGCCAGTTGGACGGGTTGTGCCACCAGTCTTCACCGGCTTGCTCTTGACCTAGTCTTGTCGGATTCTTGTTGCTTAATTTCCGGTCCTCTCTTATCTCGTTTTTGCCTGCTCTGTGTATTTGTCCATGCGCTTGTGTATGCATGGATGCGTGTATGCCTTCACAAGGGTGTGTTTGCGTAAATATGCGTGTGTGCAATGGGTGCGTGCGAGAGGAGTGATGGGGAAACCGCGTGAATGTGTGGGGTAGGGGAGAGTGAGGGGAGAGGGGCTGGGGGAAGAAGGCGTGCGCGCGTGGGTGGGTAGATGGGTGGGTGCGTGGATATGGCTGGGGGTACAATGCATGGACGGATGGGTTGGGTGGGGTGGAGAGGATTCGAAATGAAAATTCCATGGGTGGGTGTGGTATGGGGAATGATTGGCTGCAGATAAGGCGCTTTTTTCAGGAGACGTGATTTCGTGCCGGGATGGTTCCAGGAAGATTCACATCTCGCGTGTGAACGACGACTTTTGTGACTGCCCTGACGGCACGGACGAGCCCGGCACCTCCGCGTGCCCCAACGCCTCCTTCTTCTGCCGCAACCGAGGGCACAACCCCCTCTCGCTCTTCTCCTCTCGAGTCAATGATGGGATATGCGGTACGTACGTTTGTAAGTGGCATGTGGTGCAGCTGCTATGTGTTGCCCAGTAGCAAGGACGGACGAGCCTGGCACCTCCGCCTGCCCCAACGCCTCCTTCTACTGCCGCAACCGAGGCCACAATCCGCTTGTTCTGTTCTCCTTGCGAGTGAATGACGGCATATGCGGTACATACGTACGTGTGTGTGTAGCATGTGTTGGGGGGGTATGTTCTGCCCAGTTGCAAGTACGGACGAGCCAGGCACCTCCGCATGCCCCAACGCCTCCTTCTACTGTTGCAAACGCGGCCCATTCCCTATCCAGATTGCTGCGACGGCAGTGACGAATACGATGGCCGCATCACCTGCCCCAACACGTGCGCCCAGGCGGGGGCGGCGAGGAGGCAGCAGCTGGCAGCTGACGTGGCGAAGCACAGGGAGGGCGTGAGGCAGAGGCAGAGGGCGGTGGAGGAGTGGAGGGAGAAGAAAGTGCGACTGCAGGAGGAGAGGGAGAGGCTCGAGGAGGAGGAGAGGGAGCTGCAGGAGAAGGAGAAGATTCTTAAAGGTGCGTTTGTGTGTGTGCATGTGCACATGCGGAATTTACAACTGAAAGGTCTGTATGTATGGGTGTGGTGTGAGGCAGGGGCAGAGGGCGGTGGAGGAGTGGAGGGAGAAGAAGGTGCGGCTGCAGGAGGAGAGGGAGAGGCTAGAGGAGGAGGAGAGGGAGCTACAGGAGAAGGAGAAGGTCCTCAAAGGTACGTCTGGTTGAGAAAAGGGGTGAGTGGGCGTGAGGAGGAGAAGGTACGGCTGCAGGAGGAGAGAGGGCGGCTGGAGGAAGAGGAGAAGGTTCTTAAAGGTGGGTCTGAGGGGGGTTGAGTGAGTGAGTGTGAGCGTGTGAGTGAGTGAGTGAGTAATTGAGTGAACGAGTGAGTGAGTTAGTGAGTGAGCGAGTGAGTATGGGAGCGAGTGAGTGTGTGTGGCGTTTGGTCGGATTAAGTGTCATTGAGATAGTTTACCTTGTTTTCACCCCCGCTTCTCCCCATTCACCCCCCCATTCTCTCCCTTCTTTCCCATTCACCCCCTCCCGACCCCCCCCCGCCTTTGTCCGGACCAGAGAGGAAGGATGCTCTAGAGAAGATAGAGGAGGAGGAGAAGGAAAGGCAGAGGAAGATCGAGGAGGAGGAGGAGGCCAGGAGGAAAGCAGAGGAGGAGAAGCTGCACCCGCCACCTGCCGAACCTGCCGAGCCCGCTGCCACCGAGCCTGCAGCTGCCGAACCAGGGGCAGCCGACTCTGACTCTGCCGAGCCTGTGGCTGCCGAAACAGCATCTACCGAGCCTGCTTCTACAGAAGCTCCAGTGCAGCAGGGAATGGTGGGGGAGCCCCTCCGTGCTGATGCTGACGCTGCCGCCACTGCTGAATCTGCTGCTGCTGCCACTGCCGCTGCTGCTGATGCTGGTGCTGCTGCAGCTGCTCTTGATAATTTGGTTGCTGGTCATGATGCTGCTGCTCCTGCTGATGACAAGGAGAGTGACAAGGAGATGGATGATGATGAGAGCAATGAGAGCGATGATGAGAGCAATAAGAGCGATGATGAGAGTGATGAGGACCTGTCAGGGCTGTCTAAGGAAGAGCTGGGGCGGAGAATCGCGTCCAGATGGGCGCATGGGGAGGACGGGCCTGGGGGCGCGGAGGTGGGGGGCGGAGAGGGGGATGGGGGGAAGGAGGCAGGGGAGGGGGAGGGGGAGGGGAGTGATGGGGGTGATCTGGGAGCGGATGATGGGTTGGGGTATGATGATGGGGATGATGATAAGGACTATGAGGACATGGAGCACGATGGTCATGGTGGGGATGATGGTGATGGTGGTGATGATGGGGATGATGATGATGATAAGGACCATGATCATGATGATCATGACCATGGGCATAGTGATGATGATGATGCATTGGAGGATGCAGAGGACTTTGCGGCCCACAGCGAGCATGAGGACGATGATCCGTGGCGGCATGAGTCAGGTACGATATGGTGCCACAGCCTGCACAGCATACAGCCCACAGAATAGGAGCAGGCGTACATCATCCATTGGGGCTCTGACGGACTTTGCTGCTCGTGGGTACGACTTTTTTGAATTCTCAAAAGTCGCACCAATATAGCAGGCATACAGTATTCATTGGAGCTCCAACGGGCTTTGCTGCCTGTGGGGAGCATGAGGATGAGATGATGATGATGATAACTCGTGGTGGCATGAGTCAGGTACGGTGTTACAGCCTACAACTCACTGCCTTCAGAACACAGCACATAGCACACAGTGCACAGCGCTTAAAGTGCAGCGCGCCAAGTGCACCGCGCCAAGTGCAGCACACAGTGCCCGCCCTCCCCTCGTCTTGCTCCTTCCTGCGGCTGTCTCCGACTCCCTCTTCCCACTGCGCCCGACTCCCCTCCCCACCCTCATTCGGCCCCCATCAGCGCCTGCTGCTGCCCTTATCCCTGTGGGACAAGGCGAGGCAGGTGTGGTTGCGTATGTCCGCCCTCATCTCCCACTCAATCCCTACCCATTATTGTTCCCCCACCCTGCTCCTGCTCCCCCCCATCAGCGCCCGCCCCGCCTCCATCGCTGTGGGACAAGGCAAAGCAGGTGTGGTCGCGTGTGTCCTCCCTCGTCTCCTCCAAATCCTCTCTACCAATCAATGAAACAGGTGCGTTTGTCTAGTCATAACCTGTAACTGGCACCTAGAAACTGGTAGCGGTTGGGGTTGACATTGGTGGGCAGGTGTGGTCGCGTGTCTCCTCCCTCGTCTCCTCCAAACCCTCTCTGCCAGTGAACGAAACAGGTGGGTTTGTCTAGTCGTAACAGGTGGATTTGTACGTGGTAACGGGTTTGCTTCGAGATCTCCCACTAGAAGACTTTGAGTTCTCCTCCCTCCCTCCCTCCCCCTTTCATTCTTCACTCTTCCTCCCTGGTGCAGACCTGCTGAAAATTCGCTCAGAATACAACGTTATCTCATCCCAGCTCAGCAAGACAAACCAGTACCTTAAAGCGTCCTTCCCCCCCTCCAACCCTCTCTCCCCTCCAACCCTCTCTCCTCTCCAACCCTCTCTCCCCTCCAACCCTCTCTCCTGATTCAGACCTGCTGACAATTCGCTCAGAGTACAACGCTGTCTCATCCCATCTCAGCAAGGCGAGGGGGCGGCTGCGCACGGTGAAGGAAAAGCTTGAGAAGGATTTGGGTGAGTTTGGTGCGGTGTGGTGTGGTGTGGTGTGGTGTAGATGAACCAAAGTCAAGTACAGCTCAGCAAGGCGAGGGGGCGGCTGTGCACGGTCAAAGAAAAGCTGGACAAGGACCTGGGTGAGCGTGGGCTGTTTCTGTGGGGTGAGTGAGGACTGCTGTGCGGTACTGTGCGGTGCTGTGAGGTGCCATGTGTTACTGTCTCTGCAAGAGTTTTACACGATCTCATCCAAGCTCAGCAAGGCGAGGGGGCGGCTGCGCATGGTCAAAGAAAAGCTGGAGAAGGATCTGGGTGAGTGTGGACTGCTGTGCGGTGCTGTGTGGTGCTGTGAGGTGCCGTGTGCTTCTGTCTCTGCATCCCAGCTCAGCAAGGCGAGGGGGCGGCTACGCACGGTCAAAGAAAAGCTTGAGAAGGACCTGGGTGAGTGCGGACTGTCTCCGTGGGGTGAGTGAGGACTGCTGTGCGTTACTGTGCGGTGCTGTGAGGTGCCGTGTGCTACTGTCTCTGCAAGAGTACAGCACTGTGTCATCTCAGCTCAGCAAGGCGAGGGGGCGGCTGCGCACAGTCAAAGAAAATCTTGAGAAGGACCTGGGTGAGTATGGTGTGGTGTGGCGTCTTCGCACGGTCAAGGACAAGCAGGATAAGCACCTGACTTTTGAGTCGGCTCAAAAGTCACCTCAAGGACAAGCAGGAGAAGCACCTGGGTGTGTGCGTGAAGAGCTGTGAGATACTTTGCTGCTTTGATTCTTCATGTGTGTCGCAATCACTGGCATTTCTTCTTCCTGTGAAAAATAATAATATTATTATTTATATGTATAAATACATTAACTCATTCTCTTTCTTCTTTGCTGGTTGGTTGTTTCTTTATGTTAACATTTTCCTCTTGTTTGTTTTTTCCTTGCTGTTCCGAAAAGTCTTTGTTTGAAGTGTGCTATTCATCGTCCCTCCATCCCTCCCTCCCTCCTATCCTCTTCTCCCTCCTCTCTGCAGGCCCTGACGGCGAGTTTGCTGCATTCGCAGACCACTGCTTTTCCTTCAAAGTCAACCAGTTAAGATGCCATTCCGCCTATGCATAGCCCCATGATGTGCTACGGAGTGACTTTTGAGTTGACTCAAAAGCTCAACCAGTTGGGGCGCCCTGCCACATAATGCATACCCCCATGATGCGCCAAGCACCCCCATGTGATACCATGCTTTTCCATGCCAGAAATAACGCACCATACCATCCATGCATTTTGCATTTCTCTTGCCCGCCATGCTTTTTGCCTCCCTGTTCCCCTTACCACACCTAAGGTAAATGCACGCATTGAATTTACTCTTTCCCCCAATACCCAGCTACGTCGGGTATGAGGTGCGTCCATACCACCAGGTGAACCACCACCAGGTGAACCACCACCACCAGGTGAACCACCACCACCAGGTGAACCACCACCAGGTGAACCACCACCACCAGGTGAACCACCACCAGGTGAACCACCACCACCAGGTGAACCACCACCACCAGGTGAACCACCACCAGGTGAATATTAGGTGAACCACCACCAGGTGAACCACCACCACCAGGTGAACCACCACCACCAGGTGAACCACCACCACCAGGTGAACCACCACCAGGTGAACCACCACCACCAGGTGAAACATATTTCACCACCTGAACACTCGCGATCGTTTTATGGACCCCCTTTATTTCCCCCTCCTTCCCTTTTCTTTTCCCGGGTACGAGTACGAGGTGTGCCCGTATCGCCAGGTGAAGCACGTCTGACCACATGACATCACCACTCGCCTTGTTGCTATTGACTCTTCTCCCTTTTACTCCTACTTTCCCCCCTCTCCCCCCTCTCCTTCCCCCACCATTCCCAGGTACGAGTACGAGGTGTGCCCGTACCGCCAGGTGAAGCAGAAGGAGAAGCATCACTCTGATACCACTGTGGGGTGAGTGAGGGATGCTGTGCGGTGCTGTGGGTTGCTGTGTGATTGCATGTGGTGCTATGCTATGTGCTGCTGTTTGTCTAGGTAGGTGAAGCACAAGGAGAAGCATCACTCGGATACCACTGTGGGGTGAGTCAGGGCTGCTAATGGTGCTGTGCGGTGATGTGTGGTTCTGTAGGGTGTTGATGCGTACCACTGTGCACTGCTCCTTACCTGCCATCATCACCCTTCACACCTTCGCCACAACCCTTTCCTTGCTCTTATCCCCCCCCTTCCATTTTCCGACTTCATTAGTGCGCCTTCATCCCTTCTTACGCTGGTCGGGCTCTAACTATCGCACGATGATGTTCTGAAACACCTGAGTCTCTAAGTTGTGCTTATCCTCCCTCCATTCATCGCCTCTCTCTGTCTGTGCGCCGTCATCCCTACAGCCGCTGGTCAGGCTTCGAGGACAAATATCGCACGATGATGTTCAAGAACACACGAGTGAACGAATTACCCATACACCCCCCTTCCATCTACTCTCTTTCTTCCATCATCCCTGCAGCCGCTGGTCGGGCTTTGAGGACAATTATCGCACAATGATGTTCAAGAATGGGGATAAGTGCTGGAACGGACCGAACCGGAGCATCAAGGTGAAGCTGGAGTGCGGGCTCAAAACAGGGATCAGATCCGTGGAGGAACCAAGCCGATGCGAGTGAGTGTCCTTCCTTCACTCTTGTTCTACTCCTGGTTCTTCTACTTCCACCCACTGAAACTCCTTCTGTGTGTGCTTCTCGTGAAATGCCTGTAAGTTCACTTTCGAGTCAACGCAAAGGTCATCTCGTGAAACGCCTGTAAGTTCACTTTCGAGTCAACGCAAAGGTCGTCTCGTGAAACGCCTGTAAGATACCTTTGAGGTGCCTCGCGATGGACAGCTGCCTACATTTGACTGCCTAAACAATGCTTTGATTACAGTCCACCAGGCAACTAAATAATACTCTGCTCTCCTCCCCTTCCCCATCCTCCTCCACCCAGTAGTGCTGGTGACACCCGTAGTGACTTTGAGTCGAGTCAAAGCACGCCCTCTTCCTGCCCCTCTCTCGCTTACCCTTCATTCCTCTCCTTTTCCCCCACGACCTTGTCAGGTACGAAGCGGTGCTGGTGACGCCTGCGGTGTGCAATGCAGCGCTGGCAGAGGTGAGGGGGAATGTGGAAAAAAAAGGGGATTATATATACCTTTCCATCAGTTAATGCTGTGTGTTTCTGCGCTGACCCAACTGACCCTCTACCTGTGACTAGCATGCAAGTCCTACAGGTGTTTTTCCTTCTTGACTGTCTTGGTGACAGCTCCGCTAACTTTTCAAGTGTGTTTTGCTTGACCATTTGTGCTTGGCCTTTACTGCAGGAGTTGGAGAGGCAGTTGAAAGAGATGGAGGATGAGCTGAAAGAGGTTCATGACGAGCTGTAATATTTTAGCTAGGTATTTAGTGAAGGTGTTATCAAATTTTCATATGTATTCCCTTAACGAACTGTAGAATTTACGGCGGTTGCATATTTTAATACGGTATGCCTCTGGTACAAGGTGTGCATTGTGATTCTGATCAGTAATTTGGATGACGAATTGCAATTGCGAAGTAGACATTGCTTAAGTGGCGGTCATGCATCCCCATGAACAATCCAAACTTCACACAATATTACATGGCCTTTCCATGCCAGTTCACAACAGTATACCCAACCCTGCTACCAAATGCACTCCCATGCAGCAGTCAATGAATTTCTATTCTACACTTTCCGCATCATCAGTAAGCGCAACGCACGGACCAGGGCTTGCGCCGATGTACAGTACCTGACACTTTGACAAACCGAGTGTTCTACTCTTGATCCAATCACCCTGTGCCAGTGGATTCGTGATTTACTTATCAAGTGCTCTACTCTTGGTTCTCAGCTGGAGGGTTCTTGATTCCAGCGTAAGTGCGAATGAGGTTTGCCCCGCTGGGGTCGGTGATAAGGTGGTGGATGAGGCGGAAGCGGAGGGGGTTGGAAGCAACCAGGAAGGTGGAGAAGGCGAAGAGGAGGAGGTCGAGGGAGGAGAGGTTGGATGCCAGGAAGCCACGCCATAGCCTGAGGGGCGGAGAGGGGTGGAAAGAGGCGGAGGGGCGGAGAGGGGTGGAACGGGGTGGAGAGGGGCAGAGAGGGGTTGAAAAGTGAGGTATGTGATTCCAGCATAAGTGCGAATGAGGTTTGCCCCGCTGGGGTCGGTGATAAGGTGGTGGATGAGGCGGAAGCGGAGGGGGTTGGAAGTAACCAGGAAGGTGGAGAAGGCGAAGAGGAGGAGGTCGAGGGAGGAGAGGTTAGACGCCAGGAAGCCACGCCATAGCCTGAGGGGCGAAGAGGGGTTGAGGTGGGTGGAGAGCCGTGGAGAGGGGTGGGGTGGTGTGGAGCAGGGTGGAGAGAGGTAGACCGGGGGAGAGATGGGGAGAGGAGAATTGATGAGGTCAAGAGATTCTTGAAAGAGGGAGAAGAGAAGGTCTGAAGCAGAAGCAGGCAAAGCGTTGCAACCTTCACGGGAGCCTGGAACCCGAAGGATCTGCTACACACTTCAGGGATAATGATCCGCCGCTAGCAAGCTTCAACCACACCACACACTTCAAAAAATCGCATGAATGTTTGGCCTCGAGAAAATCGTATAGAAGAGGATGCCTGTTTCTTGTCTGCAAGGTGCAGGCGCTTTGAAAAAAGCAGGGAGGCTTACCTGGGAGGTAGCTCACCTGGACGGCAGCTCACCTGGACGGCAGCTCACCTGGGTGGCAGCTCACGTGTGTGGCAGCTGACCTGGACGGCAGCTCACCTGGGTGGCAGCTCACCTGGACGGCAGCTCACCTGGACGGCAGCTCACCTGGACGGCAGCTCACCTGGACGGCAGCTCGCCTGGACGGCAGCTCACCTGGGAGGTAGCTTGAAGAAGGCGTTGAAGAAGTCTCGCGTGGCTGGTGCGTCGAGCTTCAGAATGAGCTCAAGGCCGAATATCATGAACGATTGCTGCCTCTTGCGCTCTGCTGACCACAGGTGGTCCCAGGCTGATCATGCACAGAGAACAGGGCACAAGGCACAGGGCATAGGGCACAGGGTAACAAGAAAGAAACAGGGTGCAGGAAGTTACAAATACAGGGAAGCATGAATACAATCAAAGCTTGTTGCTCGTTGCGCTCGTTGCGCTCTGCCGGCCACAAGTGGTCCCAGGCTGGGAAAGAGAGAAGCAGCACAATAGGGTGACTGAAAGGGTTGGCATCTAAAAAAGCCCATCTCATAAATGGCGCCTGCTGATGTTCGGCTGGGAAGTAGGGTGCTCTGAGGCATCTCATAATGCAAAAGCACAAGTCTAAGTCACACCTCACAACCGCACTGCACCTACATGCACCACACCTGAGCCATATGCCGCCTCACAGCCCCACAACCGCACAGCACCTATGCCCTCCCTGACGTAACCCACAGCCCCACCTTGAGTTGCAGCTTCTAGTGAATTTCGGGTGGAGGAGCGCAGAGCAGCAGAGAGGGCAGCCACACAGCCCCACACCCCGACATCCCCACACCCCCCCCACCCCCCCCCCGACTGCCCAACAGCCGTGCATTAACCTACCTTGAGTTGCGGCTTCTAGTGAAGTTTGGCTGGGAGAGCGCAGAGCAGCAGCGAGGGCAGCCCCACATCCCCACAGCCCCACATCCCCACATCCCCACATCCCCACATCCCCACATCCCCACATCCCCACATCCCCACAGCCCCACATCCCCACATCCCCACATCCCCAAATCCCCACATCCCCACATCCCCACATCCCCACATCCCCACATCCCCACACCCCGACATCCCCACAGCCCCACACCCCAACATCCCCACAGACATCCCCACAGCCCCACATCCCGACTGCCCAACAGCCGTGCATTAACCTACCTTGAGTTGCGGCTTCTAGTGAAGTTCGGCTGGGAGAGTGCAGAGCAGCAGCGAGGGCAGTGGCGTAGTGCGGAGCTTCGGTGAGAGAACGAGTGATGGAGTAGCCTGTGGGGAGAGAGTTGGGAGAGAGGGATGGGATAAAGGGAGGCAAGAGAGGGGGTATTATTGAGTAATGCAACAAGCAGACCGGCAGCAAGGGAAGCAGCGTAGTGGGGAGCTACAGTGAGAGAACGGGTGATGGAGTAGCCTGAGGGGAGGGGGAGGAGAGAGAGCAGGGAAAGACGGATGGGTTAGTGAGTGATGCAACACGCAGAGCAGCAGAGAGGATAGCGGTGTGATGGAAAACCTCGGTGAGGGAACGAGCGATGGTGTAGCCTGTGTGGGGAGGGGGAGGGGAGAGAGTAGGGAAAGAAAGACGGATGGGGTACCGAGGATGCCACAAGAAGAGCAGCAGCAAGGGCAGTGGTGTAGTGGAGAACCTCGGTGAGGGAACGAGTGATGGAGTAGCCTGTGTGGGGAGTGGGAGAGAGTGTGGGGAAGACAACTGGGATAAAGGGAGGGGGATGCGATATTGAATGATGCAACAAGCAGAGCAGCAGCTTAGTGCGGTGCTTCGGTGAGAGAGCGAGTGATGCCTACCTGTGGCAGGATGGATCATGGACGCAGCAGCACCAAAGCCCAAGTGCTGCTGAGTGGTGAGAGGGAGAGAGCCGCCCACTGGAATGTATGACCACTCCTGAGAGACGGGACAGAGGGAGGAGCGTGAGAGCGAGAGTGAGGGCAGGGGCGAAGGAAGCTCCGGTGCTGCTGAGAGGTGAGAGGGAGAAACTCGCCCACACTCGCCCACACTCGCCCACAAGCACAATTCAAGATAAGCACGGCACTAAATAAAGGGGCGCTTTTGAAAAGGATGTCGGTCACGGCTCACGTCCTCACGCATGATGGTGTATTTGACCCTAAGCGTATAAAGCAGTAGTTTTGGCGTCACGGCTGCGCGGACATACCTCCTTATGCTGCAGGCGTCACCTCCTCATGCATAATGGTGTATCTAACCCCCAGGTGTGTTAGTCGGTTACGTAGGCACGTCTCGAGCAAAGAACAGCATGCAGTCAATTACTTCAGGAGGAGTGTCTGTCACGGCCCTCACCTCCTCGTGTGTCACAGAGTATTTCACCCCCAGCTGTGTCAGCCTGCTGCGCAGGCGCGTTTTGAGCATGTCAAACGGCATTGCAGGGCGGGACGCCAGGCACGTCTCCTGTTACATGTGAATGTGTGGGTGGGGGAAGAGGGGATGGTGAAACAAGCAGGCGCGTTTTGAGCATGTCAAATGGCATTGCAGGGCGGGGCGGGACGCCAGGCACGTCTCCTGTTATCCAGGGAGGCGTGGGTGTGTCTATCCATTCTTCTGCTCTCACCTGGAAGAACACCCGTGTTGGGGTAGAGGGCATGGCGTAGAGGAAGCTGGGGCGCTGAGACAGCTCCCCCTCCGCTGCCTCCTCCTCATGGGAGCGTATGAGGTCCCGGTAGTCCATGAACAGCATGCTGGCTGGGTTGTACGGGTAGGCTGAGTCCAGCTGCGAAGGGAGAGGGTGAAAGAAACAGGCAATGGTAGCAGATTGTTAGGTATAGTGGGTATGTAGCGTACTCCACGGGAGCGTATGAGGTCCCGGTATTCCATGAAGCTGGGTTGTACGGGTAGGCTGAGTCGAGCTGCCGGGGAACAGGGCGCGAGTGAAAGGATAATGTGGGATAACTGTTAGAAACGGAGTGGAATGGCGCATGCCGTGGCATACGCCCCCTCGGCTTCCTGCTCCTCTCTGGAGCGTTGGAGGTCCCGATAGTCCATGAAGAGCATGCTGGCTGGATTGTACGAGTAGGCTGAGTCGAGCTGTGCGGGGGGGAAAGGGAGCAAGAACAGGAAATCAAAGAAAACTATCAAGTATGGATATTGTGTTGTGGCGTATCACACTGAAATGTGTGATGTCCCGATAGTCCATGAAGAGCATGCTGGCTGGGTTGTACGGGTAGACAGAGTCGAGCAGTGTGGGGGCGAAAGAGAGAAAGAAACAGGCAATCGTAGCAGATTAGCAGGTATAGAGTGGGTATGTAGCGTATAGCACTGGAGCGTTGAAGGTCCCGATAGTCCATGAAGAGCATGCTGGGTGGGTCGTACGGTTAGGCAGAGTCCAGCTGGGGGGAGAGCGAGGGGGGAAAGAGCCCAAGCTGGACGTAATGCTGTTTTTTTCAGACGTCTCAACCTAACCTTTCATACCTATTCTTTCCCTCCATGCCTCAACTTCGATGCCGTATGCTGTGTGCGCGCCCACGCCTCAACGTGACTTTTGAGTCGACTCAAAACACACCTTAGATCTCAGTTTCATACCTCATCTTTCTTCCCCCTCCCTACCTCCACTTCGATGCCGTATGCTGTTTGGACGCCCACGCCTCTCGTGTCATTGTCGTACTCGAGAAACTTCCCAGAAGCTGCTCCAGCCGCCACCACAACGAGCCTGTAGCATGGCCGGATATGAGGATAAAAGAAACAGAGGAGGGCAATCAGCAGCATACGCATTGTGCTCCACTAAATTGTTACAGTGCATGAGAGTGCAATTCCATGAGCAAATTTATCTTCCGTGTGTTTTTAGTCCGACTCAAAACAAAGAAGCGCAATCAGCATACGCCAAAGTGTGCTCCACTAAAAAGATACAACGCATGAGATTGCCATTGCATGAGCAGCTTCATCTTCCCAGCCCAAACTGCCCATCTTTCTAACCTGGTACTGCCAGCCCAGAGCGCCTGCTGTTGATGCACGAGCCATCAGTGCACGCCACTGTGCTGCTCTGACATGATCCAATGCATGAACGGCCAGCTCTCCACATCCCATCCCACCTGCCCATTCACACCTCGTACACCCAGCCCAGCTCACCTGCTGTTGATGCACGAGCCATCAGTGCACGCCACTGTGCTGCTCTGACATGATCCAATGCATGAACGGCCAACTCTCCACATCCCATCCCACCTGTCCATCTTCACATCTCGTACACCCAGCCCAGCTCACCTGCTGTTGATGCGCGAGCCATCAGTGCACGCCACTGTGCTGCTCTGACATGATCCAATGCATGAACGGCCATCTCTCCACATCCCATCCCACCTGTCCATCTTCACATCTCGTACACCCAGCCCAGCTCACCTGCTGTTGATGCGCGAGCCATCAGTGCACGCCACTGTGCTGCTCTGACATGATCCAATGCATGAACGGCCAGCTCTCCACATCCCATCCCACCTGCCCATCTTCACATCTCGTACACCCAGCCCAGCTCACCTGCTTTTGATGCGCGAGCCATCAGTGCACGCCACTGTGCTGCTCCGCGCGGTGTCATCTATGCTCTCCACCTCCTTCTCCACATACCGCACGCCCGCCTGCTGGCATCTGGTGGACAGGGCGAGCAAGGAAGCAACGAGTCAAGGACAGGGAGAATCCGACCACCTAATTAGCACAAGCCGGATTCAACACATCTCACACCACCTTACGACGCCCGTACTGTTGAAATCAGAGTTCGGAGCTGGTGTTTGGCTGCTCTTTTCTTTGAAATAAAGGCGGTGCCAGAACATGTACGAACTCGGAACCAAGAATCCCCGTTATGAGTAAACTCTGACCTCAGCACAAGCTCGTTGTGGAGTCTTGAGCGCTCTACCCGGCCATACGCCCTCCCGGTGGTGATGGGAACATCGGAGTCTGTGTACAGGATGGTGTCGGTCCACACTTGGTCGATACAGTGCTCCAACCCAATGGCTGCGCGGAGGGTGGGGAAGGATGGGAGCAGAGGCGGTAGAAGATGTCGAGCACGTGCTTGAATTTGTCAAGTGCCACCATACAGGCGCTGTAGCTGTTCACAAAGGGTGCATCTTTGCCAACAAGCCTCACCGCCGGTGAGTTGCGTTTGGCACGCTCCGACGCAATAGACTGCATTCGAGTCGTCCCAGACGCTGCATGCCTTTGAATTCGTCAAGCCAGACGCCGTAATTGTTGACATCCCTGCCGACGAGCATAACCGTGAGCCCCTGCTTGGCACACCCCGCCGCAATAGACGGCGTTTGAGACGTCCTAAAGGATGCATACCTTTGAATTCGTCGAGCCAGACGCCGTAATTGTTGACGAAGGGTGCATCCCTGCCAACGAGCCCCAACGGTGTGTCCGCGCTTGGCGCGCTTTGCCACAATAGACGGCATTTGAGACATCCTACAAGTCGCGTACCTTTGAATTCGTCGAGCCAGACGCCGTAATTGTTGACGAAGGGTGCATCCCTGCCAACGAGCCCCAACGGTGTGTCCGCGCTTGGCGCGCTTTGCCACAATAGACGGCATTTGAGACATCCTACAAGTCGCGTACCTTTGAATTCGTCGAGCCAGACGCCGTAATTGTTGACGAAGGGTGCATCCCTGCCAACGAGCCCCACCGTCAGTCCCCGCTTGGCGCACTCAGCCGCAATAGAGAGCCCCGCCGGCCCACAGCCAACCACCAACACGTCGAGCACTGATGACTCTTTGGTGTCTAGAGGGAGGAGCTGTGCGGGTGACGAGAGCGGGGGGAGTGAAGGAAGACGAGACGAGTGCAAGGGAAATGATGACAGAACCAATGGGCAGCACATCCACCACGGAAAAACCTTTGGTGTCCACGGGAGTGACGAGCGGAGAAGGTGAATTAGGACGAGTACAAGGACAAGGATAACACACTAAGTAAGCAGCACGCCGAACACGGAAGTGTCTTTGATGTCGAGATGGAGGAGCTGTGCGAGTGGCGAGCGGAGGACGAAGAGAGACACGCGAGCAATCTTGGACTTACATCCGTATCATATTGCTCCTAGGCCTTCATTCTTGACGTCTTGGGTTTAAATTCTTAAGTTCCTGGATTCTTTGTCGGATTAATAACAATTTCCAGGTTCAAGTACCTTGGTGGAGATCTTCGGCTGATCCTCCATCGGCTTGGTTGCCTGCATCTGGACATAATGCAGGTCAGAGCCGCCTGCCTTGGTGAAATCCTCGGTGTCAGCAAACGCTGCTTCGGGATTGGCTGCTGGTGACTCCACCAATGGAGGAATCGCACAAACTGGCCGGCATAATTGATGCACTATTTTTGTGGGAATGGAGCTTTGACAAATGGAGGGACCATGAATGATAGACAGAGATGCTCCATGAATTCGTGTTCTCATCCGACAACTGCCACTGTTGGAGGATTCGCAATGCTCCGAGTTACCTAACCAATGTAAGGAGGAACGAGCTACAACTGATCCGGCAAAAAATCGAGCTGCAGACATTCTGAAATCTCTCTAAGACCAGCCAGGCCGATGGCTACTAGAAGTTGAATACTAACAGGAATACCACTAACGCGAACCGCGACCTAGCTGGCCTTGTGCATCACCACTAACGCAGAGAAAATAACGTCGGTTTAGCTAAGGGACTTCACTAAGGACGCGGCACCTCAAGGGAGGGAGCAAGGAACGATCCTGAGTGGGGATCAATCCTGGCTTGTACACTGAAATTGCGACGTCGCCAACAAACTGGGATCTGGTTTCGCCATTCGACGCAATTGTACAGTAAATTGGTACCCAAAATGGTGGCACCTCTGGCTCGCACGATCGATGTGCCAGCGCCCACACATCGATCGTGTAATTGTGGAGATCGGGCAATTTTGCCCCATCGGTGTGCCGATCGATGTGCCTAAGGCGATGTGACCCCGATCTCACCCGAACCTGGAATTTCCCAAGAGGTGCCGCGTCCTGAAAGCTGGAAGCTTTGAGGTTGATCCAAGTGGTCTCCGACACGTTCATTTTTGCTTTGTAACCTATCCGACCGTTCTAGATTGTTATTTGAAAGCTGTACAACGTCCAGCATATCTCTGAGCCGCATTCAAACGTACTTTCTAGACACGCCCTTATTGGCTGCTGACAAACATTTTCATCCAAACCTAGAGATTTCCGCTTTCCTTTCCGCCTCCGCTCTTCCCCAGCTCTGGATCATTCCGCTACCATGGAACTTCCGGGCGAATTTCCGCGCGTGCGGCCCAGCGAATGGGAAAGCTCCAAGTTTCCAAGGAGTTCGTGCAGCGAATAAGGAGTGACAATTTCGAAAGAGTATAATCTATGCTTGGAAGCTGTGATTGGCGACAATCTATACGCGAACAAACCTTCTAATAAAAAAACAATCATGTGTATCGGGTACACTGTGCAAGAAGCTTTGATACCAGAAGAATTGTGTAAATAGCAATTTCTTTTAGCGCATGCCTAGTACTGAAACCAAGCAATCAGAGAATAAGTGTTGTGAGAGAAAAATACGATATGAGTTCTGTTGGTTTATAAGTTAAGAGCTCCTTGCATCCTGGTGGTAGTAGTACCACAAGCCTAATGCATCAAGATAACAAACATACAGTACATGCACTATCAAACAAAATCAGAACTGTTGTCTAGGGGAGCTGGTAGACAAAGAGGGGCCTTCTGGGGACAGAATGTCTAAGTTGGGATAAGAACCCCAAGAAGGCATGCCAGGCTGCTGTGCTACAACAAATTCTTACTCAAGCTGCTGAAAGACCGACTTCTTGAGTCCTCTGAAAGAAGACCTCCATCCCTTATCGTCTCTCTGCAAGTTTGCGAGCCCGGTGCAGCCCCTGGGCTACAGATAAAATCACATGAATTGGGAGGCGACACGTGGTTTGCTGGGATGGGAGGGAGTGGTGAGACGGCACGTGGTGGTAGCCCAGCCGACCGACCGGACGCTGAGTTGGCAGACCGGCGGGAAAGACGTGGCTGTTGTTGCTGCTGGTTGTGGTGCTGGTGGTGAAGTCTCGGTGAGGACGCCCTTTGCTGAGAAGATATCTGATGTCTTGCGTGCTGCTGCTGGGAATGCATATGCTGCTGCTGAAACTGCTGCATCTGCTGTTGCTGCTGGCGCTGCTGCTGGTGCTGCATGTGCTGCTGGTGCATCATCTGCCGCTGCATCATTATCCACTCCCGCTTCTCCCGCTCTCTACGCCTCTCCTCCGCCGCCGCTGCATCCTGCGGCGAAGGCAACGAGTAACCCGACTTCACGCTACCCTCTTCGCATTGGCTCTCGCAGTCCGAATCAACCGCCGTGAACACGCTTCGAACATCTGCCGTTGGGCTCCGGACACGGAGCGACGCCACGGCAGCGGACGCGTCCGCGGGGTGCGGGCGACCCGCCCGCATCGCGCGGTGGTCCAGACTCGTTCGGTGAATGGGCGTCGACGGCGCGGAGGGGAAGCGCGCGCGCGGCGCAGACCGCGGGTCGTGCTGGGAGTCGTTTCCGCGGGAATCGTTGCAACTGTAAGTGGCAGATCTTGAAAAGGACTGCTGCTGCCACTGCGCCAATCCCGGCGGCGGCGGCGACGGTGACGGAACGAGCCCACATGCCGCCGCGGCAGCGGAAGCGTCATAATCCGGGAACGCGGATCGCGCAGATCCTTCTTGCGCGCTGCCAGAGCCGCGGTAAAGCACGCGCCGCCCGCTCCTTCCGCCGGCTGCGCCATCGGCGGAATCCAGGGCGTAGTGGTCCCTGGTGATATCGCCGCCCTCGAAGTCGGGAAAGGCGGCGGCGGAAGCGGATCGGACTGGCGGAGCCGGCGAGGGGCAGCGCGACGAGCGCATGCTTCCGCCCCCGCTCGCGCAGCCTCCGCAGGAGCGGCCGCACGACAGCTGGCGCTCAAGCTGGGAAAACGGACTCTGCTGCCCCGCCGTGACGTTGCAGCCGTTGAACTCACTGTCGTAACCAGCGCCATGATCGTGACTGCCATGGTCGTAACCGCCATGGTCGTGACTGCCGTGACTTGAAAGTTCAGTGAGTGAATTTACCCGCTTCGGCCGGGAGTGATGGCGCATGTTCATCTCGTCTTCCCAGATCTGGCGCGCTTCGGCAAGTGACGCGGCGGCGGATCTGGCGGATGCCGCATCGGAGAGAGACGCGCGTCGCGACGCGACACGGTTGGCAGCCTGAAACGGCGAAATCATTTCGTCGTCGTCGGCGTCGTCGCCGTTGTCGTCGTCCGACGTGGCATCGAAGACGTAGTCGCGACGCATGGAAGAAGAAGCGACCGCCGCGGCAAGGGCGGCGGCATCGGCACTTCGTTGGCGGCTGAAAAGCGCTCCAGCATCGAGGGACATGCGGCGCGGAATGAAGCCGGCGGTCTGGCCATTCGCCGTCAAAATGTCGTCTTTCCGTTCGGCTTTTCTCATCTCCTTGCGAGCACGGCGCGGCGCTGGGCCACCATTGCGATCGCCGTCAAGTAACCCCTTGAAATCCTTCTCATTTTTCGAAGGGAGAGACCTAGCTCCTTTCAGAGACGATTGCTTGTTAGGCTCGAGGTAGTACGTGCTGCCAGGGTGAAGCGCCTTCTCCGGCGCGAGGCACGGGCGAGAGGAAGTGATGCTGCCGACGTGGTGGCCCGGGTATTCCGCCATGATATCCGCGACGGTCTTACCCCCGCCGAACATTTCCATGCTCCCGTTGGGAAGGAGGAGCGAGACGAGCTTGTCGCTGCTTCGCGAGCGGAGGAGCTTGTCAATGCCCCATCGAGACATCGCCATCGCCATTCGGATTACTCAAAGAATCGAGAATTGCAGCTGGACGACGGCCGCGTCGTCCCGGAATTGAAGAAAAAGTTATTGACGGTCCACTGGAGAGAAAGTTACTAGCTTCGATCAGAAGAGGTCGAAGAGGGCGGCAAAACTTGCTCTAGTTCGTCAGGCAAAGCGGAACCTCGGGGAACGAGATTGAAGTTAGAGCGAAGTTGTGAAGCGACATTTATAATGGTTGCCTGCTCAGTTGAAGAGTCGTGCAAGAGACGCGTAGCATGTGCTGTTGAGAAGAGTCGAGACGAGAACGCCGAAGGGGGGGGGGGGGGCACCAAGTGGTCAGGGCAAAGGTGTGGTGGGTTGTGGAGAAGGTAGGAGGAGGGAAGCTGGAGATTGTGGCGATCCGAGGCGCGGTAAGGCGAGTCGATGCGAGGTAGGCGAGGCCTTTTTGTATGTGGTAACCTGAAGGGCGAGGACATGGGTGTGGTTGAAGCGAGACCAGGGACAATAAACTTGAGGAGGAAGCGCGCTGAGCCAAGCAAAAGCAACATGGGTGTGCTGTGCGGCTGACGGAGATTCCGGGCTGCGCTGCGGGTTTGGGCTACAGTACCGCAACCGAAGGAGTTGAATGAGGCCAAGTTGAGTGCAAATCAAATCTGAAGGAATAAGTCGCGCGCGCCCATTTGCACACCTGAATTGAAGGGGACCAACCAGCCCAGTAGACCAAATCAATTGAGAGGGACTGAAGATTCACGCGGAACCCATGGGACGCTGACAAATAGTCTCATTGAAAAAGGAACTTCCACCCGTGGGCAGCACTGTCCGCAGTGTAACTGTCCACAGGCGAATTTTCCGTCTGCTAGCTGCAGCTGATCACAATTTGGTGGCTGTGAAACGTATTGCACCACTTCAGGAATGATAACCAATGATACGAAAAACGCTGATGACTCAGGGTCCTCCAGTTTCCACGTCTTCCAGAATCAGTGGGTCATTTGCCAGCTTGTACTCATTCAATTAGATTGATTTTCCTTTCTGCCAAATCTTTTTTGCAACCAAACCTTTTGTCTGCATTGTCCCCCTCGTCTCTAGTGGTCCCGTTGCTGCCGCCGAACTGTTCAAGGCGATCCAACCTCCAAATACATTGCTATAGCTTCTGATGATGTACATTGCACTGCATATGATTTTCATTTGAACGACTTATTAACTATGATTATCGAAAGGCCTTTCAAGCTTCCTAGCACGTATGCGTCAAAAAGATTAGAACATCGGTTAGTTCTTAACGCATGAGCTTATACGGACGATGTTTTTCTCAATCTGCCACATCCTCACTCCGCCACTGTTATAACATTCGTCATCGCCTCGCCATGCCCCGCCTTTCGCTCCCCGTCAACTCCGCCGCATGCGCCGGATCGCCCGCCTTTCTCCCTCACCGCAGCACCCACATTTCGACTGCCTTGAACGGCTGGCAAGGACGGCTATTCGTTAGTAGCTTTCAGGCCAGCAATGACTCCGTTATTGTCACATCCCGCAGTCTCATTCCCTCATCAGTTTCGCGTCCCAACTTCTGTAATCTCCAATCCCGATTCAACCGAACCGTTTATACGCGCATAGCGAGCCAATCGCAATACGCTACTAGGGACGTCCTTATTGGCAACGCTTTCGCTGTACAGGACACCTCTGACGTCACTCAGTCACTTCGACTGTCCAAATTTGGCCTAATAACCACTAACCGGTTAGCTATCGACAAATTTCTATTCTATCCAGCTTCGTACACCTCAGGTTCTTCTCGCCGTAGTTCTGTTCAGGTGAAACCAGCAGAGGAATCGCCTGAAAATCCACCTGATGATTTGTATGAGGATTGTCGGGACCTTCGGCCCGACGACCTGCGACGAATATGCGAGTCAACGGAGTCAGCGCAGTCAACGGAGTCAACAGACTCGACGCAGTTAATGCAGCAGCCGGATCGCGTCTTCGTGGCGTCAATTCCGCTGGACGCGCCGGCCGGACCTCCGCAGAGGGTTGCTGACGTGGCAGGACGGCTGTTTCCTCTGCTGTGCAGTCACTGGGTGGTGATTACAGCGAGAGAAAGTGGAGAGGTGAGGCTTTTAACGGAAAAGTCGGTTCTTTTGGTATATACCTTCCGCTCTTCTCCCTTCCCACCCTCCCCCTCTCCATGTTCCCCCAATGGTCTCCTCGTGCCCCGCGCATTTTCCCCCCATGTTTCCCCCATTATCCCCCCAATGTTCTCTCCATGCTCCCCCAATGGCCACCCCAAGGTCACCCCATTCTCAACCCATGCTTCCCCCTCCTCCCCATCTCCTCCCCTCCCCTGCTCCTCCTCCCCCCCACTCGCCTCCTTCTCCCCGTTCCCTCCCCCATCCTCCTCCCCCTTTTTCCTCCTCCTTCCCCCCCCATCGCTACCTCTTTGACTTCAGGCCGGATGACCCGCAGAACATGGATGGCGGGGTGCCGCTAGGCCTATTGTATTTCACACCACGCACATGCCGCTCTTTCTTCCTCTCCCTCACCCCCTGCACTTTTTACCCTCTCCTTCCCCAAACCCGCCACCCCCTGTGCCACCACTTTGACTTCCGGCCAGATGGCCCGCGGAACATGCGGTTTGCAGTCAGATGACCCACAGGGGGACAAGTGACTTTTGAGTCGACTCAAAAGTCACTGCGCTCAGATGACCCACAGGGGGTCAAGCCCCTTGAGTTGTTCTCGCGCCCACCTGTCACCCCTTTCCATCCTCCCCCTCTCCAGTGCTACCTCTTTGACTTCCGGCCAGATGACCCACAGAACATGGGAGTGGTGCTCAGAGTGCTGGCGCTGCAGCCTGTGCCTGGTGGGTGGGTGGGTGGGTGGATCTAAGTGGGTGGGTGATTGGTTGATGAATGGGTGGGAGCTGCAACTGTCACATGCCATGCGTCGTGCCATACCTGCAGAACATGGGAGTGGTGCTCAGAGTGCTGGCGCTGCAGCCTGTGCCTGGTGGGTGGGTTGGTGGCTTTGGTGGTAGATGAATGGGTGGGAGCTGCAACTGTCTAATTCCATGCCTCGTTCCATGCTCGCAGAACATGGGAGTGGCTCTCAGAGTGTTAGCGCTGCAGCCTGTGCCTGGTGGGTGGGTGGGTGGTACTGTTCTCAGTCACTGGTTCTGCCTGATGGGTTGTGTTGTGTGGGTTGCTGGCAGGAGACGGGTGTGGCACTCAAAATGTCGGCGCTGCAGCCTGTGCCTGGTTCTGTGCCTGGTTGGTGGGTTGGTATTTCTCTCAGTCACTGGTTCTGCCTGCCTGGTGGGTTGCGTGGGTTCATTCATGCAATTTCATCTGCTGCGTAACTTCCCTCCCTCCGCTCTCCTAACGCCCCCCCACACTACATGCTCGTTCAACCAGTGTCCCTCACCCTGCTTTCCAACTGCTGTTAGTGGCTCTGCTCGTCTGCTCACTCCAGGAAAATCCTCCCATACTCCATTTCCCTCCCTCTTACCATCCTAATGTCCCTCCATTTCCAGGCTATCTGCTCATTCGCTTGCTCTCCTCCCTCACTTCCCGCCGCTGCTGGTGTGTAGGCTCGTCTGCTCATGCTGACTAGTCCCCACGTGAGTGATTTTTTAGAATTCTCAAAAATCACTCACGCTGACTTGTCCCCACCTGACCCCTCTCTCCTTCCTCTCCCCTCTTAAACGTCTCCCAGGATATCTGCTCATTCGCCCGCTCTCCTCCATTCCCTCCTGTCGCTGTTGGTGTGTCGGCTCGTCTGTTCACTCTGACGCGCTTGATGCTGTCCAATCGTTTAACGCCACGTGGCGCACCGAGCTGACGGTGTTCTCAAACGACTGTAGAGACTACAGCCAAGGTACAATTGTGAAATGACGCCCAATCGTGGAATGCCACGTGGCACTCTTGTCTGCTGACGGTGTTCTCCCACGACTGTAGAGACAATAGCCAAGGTATGTACAGACATGTTAAATGAGGCCCAATCGTGTGACGCCACATGGCGCCGTGGGCATTGCCAAGTGGGGTACTTATCTGCTGACGGTGCTCTCTGCAATTGTAAATAGTATAGCCATGGGGAAACAATGTGATTCCGCAATGCATTCTTTGGGTATTGCTATTGTGCTGCGAGCCCGTATCTGCGCTTGCCTCATACTCACAATGCCCTTGTTGCTGCACGCATGTCCTTGTCTGTGCTTGCCCCTCTACTCATTGCATGCATATTCCCCCTAAGTGCAGCACTCGCATCACATCTAACAGGCAAGAAGGTAGACCTCAGCTCGTTCTCATAACATGAAGTGTGAATAGTGACTGATGTTTCGAGTCGATACCAACTCAATCTCAGCATCTCTGTCAGGGCCATCTGCTACTAAATGTGTAACGCTGATCAGCTGTTGAAGTCCCCGTACCCTTACACAGCTGCTAAAGCTGCACAGCTATACTCAATCAATATTGTGTGTTCTGTGTAGTCCAACTTTCATTTCTCCGTAGTCTATGCAGGTGTGTAACGGTGCAAAATCGGTTATACCCACAAAACCGTTTTCCAATGTGTGGAACCTTTCCGAGCTGCTACAAATAATTTGTAAACGAGACATCAACTGCAGGGATGAATGCGTGATGCGGTAGAAGCTTGTACAGTCAGAGGCGAGGAATTTCTCACAGCATAGTCAGGGGCAAGGAATTTTTCCACATTGCAAGTTCCACAAGTCATACTGAAAGAGGAATCCAAAGTCCCGTTCTAAGTCCCGTTCTCCAGCCACCTGAAATTCCTGAAGAGGAATCTGTCGCCAGCATGCGCGGAGTAATCGAGGCAATTCCTCTACGTTGATAGGGCAAGACTCCTATCTCACTGCACACCACCCTGAAATGTGGAAAATTGGAAAGAGGAAACGTCATAACTCGCGCTCCGAAACAAGTTTTGTTTGGAGCCACTACTTTTTACCCCATCCGACATGGCAGTGCCTCCGAGCTGGATTCCCAATGTGTGTCCGCCAGCTCGACCTCACCAACCACTCATCGGCAAGCTCATAGCTGGAACCGCTTAAAGTTTCATCCACGTTTCTCTCCTTGCTCCCCCCCTCTCCTCGAAACATTGATCACTCCAGCCAATGCCAGATTCCTGGACGAAATTCGGAACAAATCTCAAAATTCGTCAGTGCCTCTTCTCAATTCATACCCGGATGGAATACTGTGGGCTCAGTTGCAAAAGACACTAGCTCGACAGCATAAATACCCCCCCCGACGTTTCTCTCAATCCACCAATAATTCCTTCATTTTCACACGTTCCTAGCGTCGCTGACCAAAGCGCCTCTGTACATAATCTTGCATAGTTAAGGCGTCTTCTCGTCACGACGCTCTCAGACAATGGCTGCGACTCTCTCCTCCTCGGCGTCCGCCACCATTCGCTCCCTCTCTATCCCAGAGGGAAGCACACTCTCCTCTTCCTCCCGGGCGGCAATCCCTGGGTTCTCTGGCCTCAAGGCCCAGAAGGCCCTTTCCGCCTCTGCTCACACATGCACAAGCATTTCGTGCGCAAAATGCGGTAACCGTCGCACAAGCGTCGTCGCCATGGCCAGCGGCGACAACCAGTTCGCGAGCGTCTCCCAGTCCACCGCCGCTCCCGCCGCTCCTGCCACCAGTGCCCTCCTCCCCGCCGTCGTCGGCGCCGGCGCTCTGGGCGCCGCGACCTACGTCGCCGTGAAGAAGCTCACCGCGTCTCCCGCCGCCGCTCCCGCCGCACCCGCCGCCGCCGCCTCCGCTCCCGCTGCAACCCCCGCGCCGCCCAGCGGCATCGTTCCGCGCGCGAAGCACGCGGCGGCGTCCGCCCTGGCGACGATGGCGACGACGTTCCCGTCGGCGATGCAGGAGGAGGCGTTCCTGAAGGCCGTGGCGGTGGAGCTGGCGAAGCTGGGGTTCCGCAAGGACAACGGCATCGCGCTGGTGAACACGTGCCGCGACGAGGTGTGCCGGCCCGTGGTGAGCATCATCGACCGCGAGTTCGGGCTGAGCTTCAACATCTCGGGGCTGGGCGGGCTCGTCAACTGCGGCAAGGTCGGCTTCAAAGCCGCCATGAGCCACTCGCCCGAGTTCCCCTGCGACGTCGACGGCAACCTCAAGGAGCGATGTAAGTTTGGGTTCATACAAAGTAGCTAAGTAACACTCTATGTCTCCTAATTTTACTCTCCGTTATGCCTCATCCCAAGTCTTCCTTTACCCCACTGGTGCTCTTTTCAATTGCACCTGATGTTGATCCCAAGTCTTCATTTTTGTTCCTGTCCTTTCTTGCAGACATTTTCTTCGCGTTCCCGCACGTGTCCATCGGCGAGTCAGGCGAGGTGGGGTCGCTGCTGCGTCGCGGTCGCGGCAAGCCGTCGAGCGCGTGCGGGGCGTTGATCGCCATCAACAACGACATCAACAACGGCACGGCGCCCAGCATGGACAGCGACGACCCCGAGTACACGCTGCTGCGCAAGAAGATTATGACTAAGGTACGAGAACGTAAACAAAATTCGGGAAAATAAACTTGTTCAAATCAAGTGCAATCAACGTAGCTTTAGCGACCAAGCTTTCCTACTTCTAAATTATCTCTTAATTTTCTTACCATCCACTAATTCTCCACGTCTCCATTCCCACGTCCTACTCCCTCCTCGCAGGTCTCCGGCAGTAATCTGTCGCTGGTGGACGTGACGCGCGCGGCGTTGGCGGCGATCAACGAGGACCTGGAGAAGCTCATCTCGCTGACGGTGGACCCCGCCACGGCGGACTACGCCGTGATCACGGGCGTGCAGATCCACTCGGGCGACCAGATTCCCGGCCAGCCCTTCCGCATCGAGCGCACCTGCGACTACATCGCTCCCGACAAGATGTACGCCGTCGTTCGTGGCCAGAAGTACCAACTCAAGGTGGAGACGCCCAAGTCGGAAGGCGTCGCTGCCATGGTTTGAAGAAATAAAATGCCTGATGAATAAAACTGTTTATTTTCGCCCCTCTGTCTGTGGTTCGGTAGTAAGACCGATACCGAATGTATGTCAATTTTAGCTTCAGTGAAGCGTTAGGTTTGATCAATTGAAATGATTTTTATAACCTGTATCATCCTTTATTATTATTGGGCAATCTATCTATTCTCGGCCTGCTAGGCTCGAAAGCAGCTTGAAAATGCAGGTTCTAAACTAATGCTTGCATTCAGGTCCACTAAGCCAATGGCTGTTAGCAGCGGCGAATGGAGTCTTCCATTCGAAAAGCGATGCTTGGTTTTTAGGCGAAGTAGCATAGCCACGTTCCTTAACAGCTGTTGGGGCGAGGGACATAATGATAAGCGGTTGCAATGCAATGCCGTTCTTTCAACGGCGTAGTGCAGGGGGGAGGGATTGAGAACTGCGAATTCAGCCGCATGAAGTTGGACATGTGCAGGGGGGAGGGATCGAGTACAGGACATGTGCAGCGAAGTAAGATGTATATTGCAGAAATGGAATTGTAGCGAGGGTATCGAGTGCAAGGTAAAATTCATATACCGGTAGCAATCTCAGCGGCATTGGGGGGATGCGTGGGGAAAGTAGCAGCGCTGTGTTGGAAGGTATGACACCACATGTCAGGGAAAGGTTATTATTTCTGGATTCACAATTGTTGGCAGTAACAACTCAGGTGGACACAGTTTATTAGCGTTCCCTCGCCCCGACTCAAAATATGAACTATGTTTCTTCAAAAGCATGCATTGTCATAGATTCCTGCACCTGATCGTTAATTGTTGAAGAGAGTTTCTCTCTTGCTTGCTAGCACTGTACTGTGCTGTCCACAGAACAACTAATTTCCCCACTACCATGCATAGGGAAGATAGTTCTAGAGTAGAGATGTATAACGTTTATGCAAATTGCGTTCCTATTGTGCCATGTATTCATGGAGAGCAATAAAATTTTAAACTTGAGGTAAAATGTACAATCAAGATGAAAAAACGCTTCCTAGAAGCGAAAACACGCTAAGTGCTATGCAGTTTCTGCATATCATCAACGCCTCCTGGCAGAACATTAGACCATGGCAGCGACGCCTTGCGACTTGGGCGTCTCCACCTTGAGCGCGTACTTCTGGCCGCGAACGACGGCGTACATCTTGTCAGGGGCGATGTAGTCGCAGGTGCGCTCGATGCGGAAGGGCTGGCCGGGAATCTGGTCGCCCGAGTGGATCTGCACGCCCGTGATCACGGCGTAGTCCGCCGTGGCGGGGTCCACCGTCAGCGAGATGAGCTTCTCCAGGTCCTCGTTGATCGCCGCCAGCGCCGCGCGCGTCACGTCCACCAGCGACTGGTTGCCGCCCGGCGACACCTGCGAGGCGAGAAAGGAGGCGGAAATATTAGAAATGGGAAAACGAGTTTCTAGTACTTGTGGCATGAACATATATTTTCGCCTTGATTTGTTACCCCTTGTAATGACATGTTTATATATTGTAATAATTAACGTATCCTTACCTTAGCCATGATCTTCTTGCGCAGCAGCGTGTACTCGGGGTCGTCGCTGTCCATGCTGGGCGCCGTGCCGTTGTTGATGTCGTTGTTGATGGCGATCAACGCTCCGCATGCGCTTGACGGCTTACCGCGACCGCGACGCAGCAGCGACCCCACCTCGCCCGACTCACCGATGGACACGTGGGGGAACGCGAAGAAAATGTCTGAAGGAAAGAATAAAACAGGGACAGAAGAAGATTTGAATATTAACTAATGAAAGGAAATGACGGATTTCTCAGCAGGAAGTTAAAAGGGCAAGAACAGGAGAAGTCTGGGGAAAGGTCGAATTGGAAAAAACAATAACATTCGAAAAGATTCCAGATTACGGTAACCCACACTAGACCAACACTTACATCGCTCCTTGAGGTTGCCGTCGACGTCGCAGGGGAACTCGGGCGAGTGGCTCATGGCGGCTTTGAAGCCGACCTTGCCGCAGTTGACGAGCCCGCCCAGCCCCGAGATGTTGAAGCTCAGCCCGAACTCGCGGTCGATGATGCTCACCACGGGCCGGCACACCTCGTCGCGGCACGTGTTCACCAGCGCGATGCCGTTGTCCTTGCGGAACCCCAGCTTCGCCAGCTCCACCGCCACGGCCTTCAGGAACGCCTCCTCCTGCATCGCCGACGGGAACGTCGTCGCCATCGTCGCCAGGGCGGACGCCGCCGCGTGCTTCGCGCGCGGAACGATGCCGCTGGGCGGCGCGGGGGTTGCGGCGGGAGCAGAGGCGGCGGCGGCGGGTGCGGCGGGAGCGGCGGCGGGAGACGCGGTGAGCTTCTTCACGGCGACGTAGGTCGCGGCGCCCAGAGCGCCGGCGCCGACGACGGCAGGGAGGAGGGAGCTGGTGGCGGGAGCGGCGGGAGCGGCGGTGGACTGGGAGACGCTCGCGAACTGGTTGTCGCCGCTGGCCATGGCGACGACGCTTGTGCGACGGTTACCGCATTTCGCGCAAGTCATGCAGGTGCATGTTTGAGCAGAGGCGGAAAGGGCCTTCTGGGCCTTGAGGCCGGAAAACCCAGGGATTGCCGCCCGGGAGGAAGAGGAGAGGCTGCTTCCCTCTGGGATAGAGAGGGAGCGAAGGGAGGCGGACGCAGAGGAGGAGAGAGTGGCAGCCATGGTGTCGGGGAGTCGTGTGAACGCCCTGAAAAGATAGATTATATTTACAGAGGCGATTATCGACGACGACGGAAGAAGCAGCGTAGTAAGGAGGTCAATGTTATACTGTAAGAGTTACTCAGGAGTTAATATATGCATTTCAGCAGACTTCGCTAGTTTTTTTTTTCCCACGAATTCTGGTGGGAATAGTGAAAGACGAACAATTCCATTTCTCCGGAAGTTAGTGTTGAGAATCTCGCTTGAAATCCTGGCCTTGGTGGGGTGAGCCTGTTTGAAGTGGGGGAAAGTGAAGCTCTTCTTGGTTCGGTGCGGTTCGCTCTTGCATTGATCTTGCCTATGTGTGGTGAGAGGGGGATGATGTGGATGATCCACACGGGGTTCGTCCAGGTAGGTTGCGCGGCCACGTCGGATAGCGGTGGATTGGTTTGTGGCTCTGATCTGGCTCCCGAGACGCGCGTTTTGACATTTCCCTTGTTCCAGTTTCCCGCTTTTGATGGTCGAGTACACTTGGGACGCTGTTTTGCCTATCAACGAAGAGGATTTGGCGTGAATGCGCCACACGCGTACCGCAATCCTCTTCGATGTTAGATGAGTCGGGTCCGCTCGGCAGTGTGGGCATTGGGCTTCAGTTCATCAGCAGCAGGGATTACTTGTGCAAGTCAGAGTCTTTAGCGTCAGATATACTGTAGAGTATTACGAACCCGCTAAGAATGTAGGTTCGTGTAGCTCAGAACCAGCAAAGGTGCCAATAAAAGATATTACTGAATGTTTGAAAGGCTGAAACCAAACAATGTCTCACCCAATGCGTGACACATGCACAAAAAAAGCAGACACGTTATTCCACTGTTTGGAACGCATTAGATATTTTTGGATGGATTTAGAATATAGTTTGTTCACATCATATTCTGACCCACATGATGGTAAGGTTGCAGTGACTGAGTATCCGTTATGTATGTGGGTAATTCTAGAGCGTGCCAAGATTTTTTGACAGTAAATTGTTTGTGAATTTGTTAGCAATAAGCAATAAAACTGGTGGAAACTAAATTTGTAGAGATTACGTTGTTCATGTACTGATAGTGTGGTGGTCTTATTGAAGCAACCATTAGTGCGTTTTTCTGGAATTCTTGGAGTTGATCTGACTTGGAATTAGGGCGTGTCCAGCTCGTACGTTTTCAGTTCTTTTTGAACGGTTGACCACTTTGCGTCACGGTGAATAAAGGTGGAAATCGAAAATCTCTTTGCACCTTTTGTTATTGTTTTGCACCACGGTAGATGAACTGTATATGAACCGGAAATGTACGGGCTGGACACGCCCTTATTTATGCGCATCTCTACGCTTTTCCTGACTGATGTAGTTTTCTAGAAGATTCCGTAGTACGTAGGAGAACAACAACCGTCATGTTCTCCAACGATTAGGACCAGCGGGATTATCTTGGTGTTATAAACAGTCGAATCGCGCCAACCTCTGGATCAAGTGCGTTATCTATTGTCCCTGTAGCCTGCTCCGCATTCCTGCAAGGCGGGTTCGGCGGCAATGGCCTCCGCAAAGGGGGTATTGCGGAACGTGCAGGCGCAGGAGGAGGCGTCTCCGCATTCCCCGCGTGAAGGGGGGGTCTTGCGCAACGATGAGCTGGCGCGTCAGCTGGAGCAACTTAAAGACATCGACGCATTGCAGGTTCGTGTGCTGGAGCAACTGCCGATGATGATATGTTTTTTAGTCAAGACTCATAAGCAGCTGGAGCAACTTAAAGACATCGACGCATTGCAGGTTCATGTCACAACAGCTGGAGTTGATATGCTTTTTGAGTCTCTTTTTCGAGTCGACAAAAAAAGCATCTGGGACAACTTTAAGTAATCGGCGCAGGTCAACTATATAGCAGGAAATGTGCCTGTAGATCCAAATTCAAAGCAGATGCGCTGTTTACGGTTCGTAGACGTCTGAAGGACCAAGTGAAAGGCAGAAATTTGTCAGTTAGGGCCTGTATACGTCTACAGGAACTGGTCAAAGACGTCTCATCTACCGTGTACAGCATGTCAGCAGCGTTGAAATCGCTTTTGCGAATTTTCTAAAGTGACTGTTACATACGGTATTAAGAAGTCTGAAGGAACTGGTCAAAGACGTCACATTCACCGTGTACAGCTTGTCAGCAGCGTTGATTTTACATTTGAGAATTCTCAAAAGTGTTTTTTCGGCGTGTATACGTCTGAAGGAACTGGTTGAAGACGTCTCATTTTCCGTGTACAGCATGTCAGCAGCGGTATTTGAAGGCTCTGCTTAGCTCACTCGGATTGTTGATATCTGCGTTTTAAGAATCCCTGTTCCCCCTTCTCCTTCCATATCATAGGCAGCAGCGCACAGTATGACAGGGGGGAGAGGACGGCTTACCTGTGCTCACTGTGGGCCCAACTGGGGGAGGCGATATCTGCGCTGCAATTACCCAAATTCTCTACCACCTTCCCCTCTTTCCCCACCGTTCATTTTCCCTTGTATAGGCCCTAGCACACAGCATGGCAGCAGGGGGGAAGGAAGGCTCATCTGTTCTCACCGCGGCGCAACTGGGGGAGGTGATATCTGCGCTGCAGGCGCAGGTGCAGGCTGAGGTGGCAACACATCATGACGAGCTGCTGCAGCAGCTGTCCTCGTTAAAAGACACAGAGGGTGTGCTCTCTGTGGTGCGCGCTGGAGTCGACTCGTTATTAGCCTCGGTCCAGGTGAGCAATGTGTATCAATGCATGCGATTGAGTGAAGGGAGGAAGAGGAAGATGAGCGAGATAGTGTAAGGGAGAGGAGGGGGAATTCTGAGAGGAGAGGAGGGGGGATTCTGTTATCTCTCACTCTCGTACTTTGAGAATAAATCCATGATTTTTAACAAAATCTATTAATCGAATCGCTGAACACTTATGCGTGTGCTCTTTGTCTCCCACCCACAGCGCGTGCGGGCAGAGATAGCGGACCCGTATCGGGCCATTCAGGTGAAGACACGTCAGCTGGCCGCCCTCTACGACACCATGGAGCTGCTGAGAGCCGTCATTAAGTACCTCAAACTGGTGAGTGGAGATTAACTACCTGGTGCTGAGCAGAGGTTAAGAAACTTTAAGCTGCTGATTCGGGGGTATCACATGGGGGATTCAAGGGTTAGTCAATCGGTGATGGGGTTCCAGGGGATTCAAAATCTCTGCCGCAAGGCATTGGGGGGAACTTCTTTGGCAGGTAGGTAGTTGTACCACCTGGATAGGTGTTCACGTGTGTCTCCGGTTCCCCGAGTTGACTTCTGAGTCGACTCAAAATTACCTTTGAATCGACTTGACTTTTGACTTTTGAGTCGACTCAAATGTCAACTTGGCATGTTGGTAGGTGTACCACCTGGCTAAGAGTTCACGTGTCGCCGATTCCCCGTCCTCATTCCATCTTCCCCTCCCTACACCTTTTACCCACTTTTCCTTCTCATCCGCCCTTCCCCAGGTGCGCAAGCTGAGGGAGCACCTGAGTGGGGGAGTGGAGTGGAGAAGGCGGAGCTGGGGAAGGCGGAGCAGGTGTGGCAGGAGGTGGGATCTGAGATGTTTCAGAAACCCCCCTAATCCCCCCCTCCACCCTCTCCTTGAATCTCCCCCTTCCCCCTGAATCATCCCCCCCAGGTGCGCAAGCTGAGGGAGCATCTGAGTGGGGGGGTAGAGAAAGCAGAGCTTGGGAAGGCGGGGCAGGTGTGGCAGGAGGTGGGGGCGGTGCACAGAGAGGCGCAGCTGGGGGGGGTGCTTGTGGTGGAGGCACAGCACGAGTGGGTGGCGGAGGCAGGGCAGGCGATTAGGAGAGAGGCGATGAAGGCGCTGGAAGGGGGAATGGAGGCGATGAACCAGGCTGAAGTGGGCAGCGTGCTGCAGGTGAGAGGAGAGTGTTTGGGGTTTGGGGGGCAGAGGGCAGGGAGGTGAGAGGTTGCAAGGAAGAGAAAAATGAGGGGCGATGAAAGAAAGGTGTTGGAAGCGGCACAATAACCTGTCTTGTTTCTTCCTCGCTCATTCCTCTTCTTCCTCGCTCATTCCTCTTCTTCCTCGCTCATTCCTCTTCTTCCTCGCTCATTCCTCTTCTTCCCTTCTCATTCCTCTTCTTCCCTTCTCATTCCTCTTCTTCCCTTCTCATTCCTCTTCTTCCCTTCTCATTCCTCCTCTTCCCCTCTCATTCCTCCTCTTCCCCTCTCATTCCTCCTCTTCCCTTCTCATTCCTCTTCTTCCCTTCTCATTCCTCTTCTTCCCTTCTCATTCGTATTCTTCCCTTCTCATTCCTCTTCTTCCCTTCTCATTCCTCTTCTTCCCTTCTCATTCCTCCTCTTCCCTTCTCATTCCTCTTCTTCCCTTCTCATTCCTCTTCTTCCCTTCAGGCGTTCTTCAGCACTGAGAAGAATCCTCAAAACTGAGGCATGCGGTGAATCGGCTGACTATCAAAGCAGCACACTCCTCCTTTTCCATCTGTTCCCCCCCTGCTCCCACCCCACTCTTTGTCTCTCATATTTTCTCGGTTTCTTGCAGGTGTTTTTCAACATGGGTGAGCTGCGCCAGACAGTGGATCAGCTAGTAGCAAAGCACAAGGGGCAGGCCATGAGAGCCGTGGCGACAGGGCTAGACATGAAGGTATGGGCTTCCCCCTTCCCCATCCGAGTGCTCATGAAGCTTCCCTGCCCATACGCTCCCCATTGTGGCGTTCGCATGTCTATTCCCTCATACATACCTTGTCCCTCCCTCCCACAGCCTCACTCAATGTTGGCCCATTTTCTGCTCTTCCCTCATTGCGCGTGCGGCACCATGCATTTCCCCACCTGGTTCTCCCCACCCTGTTCTCCCCACCCTGTTCTCCCCACCCTGTTCTCCCCACCCTGTTCTCCCCACCCTGTTCTCTCCACCCTGTGGTCCCCATGATCAGGCTATCAGCGCCAGCATGGGAGCTTCAGGGGGCGGTGGAGGGCTGGGCGGGTCAGTAGGCGGACCAGGTAAGCCGTATTGCTTCATACATGAGGCGCATAAGAAATAGACCCGGTACGCTTGTAGGCAGCTGCAGCGGTACACTTGGTATGCTTCATTAAAGATGACCCACAATTAAACAACACACACACACACACGCACGCACGCACACACACACACACACACACACACACACACACACACACACACACACACACACACAAAAGGTCCATGCCATGTGCAACTGGTGGGCCATACAGCAAGAGAACCCCGCATCCCCACACTAACCCTACTTCCCGGCCCCCCCCACCCCCTTCCCCCCCACCTCTCCCCCATCACCACCCACCTCCCTCGTACTTATCCCTCTAGACCCTCCTCTTCCCATTCGTTGCCCTCTCAGGAGGAGCCATGCGCAGCGGCACTTTACCAATGGGAGGTGCACCCAGAGTCCGGGGGCGCTGTGGCAGCGGCTGAGCTGACTCAAAATTATCTCCCCCATTGCTTTTTTCCCCTTGCACCTCCCTTGTCATCCTTCCCCACCAGGAGGAGCCATGCGCAGTGGCACTCCTCCCATGGGCGGTGCACCCAGAGCCCGGGAAGCCCTGTGGCAGCGGCTGATGTGACTCAAAGCTCACCTTTCCCTCGCTTTCCCACTCCCTCCTCCTTCCTTTTCCCCTGCTTCCCATCGTGCACCCTCAGGAGGAGCCATGCGCAGTGGCACTCCTCCAATGGGCGGTGCCCCCAGAGCCCGGGAGGCGCTGTGGCAGCGGCTGACTGGATGCCTGGATGAGCTGGCGCGCGTGATGGTGCTGACGTGGCACCTGCAGCGAGTGATGGCGAAGAAGCGCGATCCGATCTCGCATGTGGTGTTCCTGGATCACGTGCTGCAGGTGGGGGGGAAGGGGGGAGGGGGAGAGGGCGGAGGGGGAGAGGGGGGAGGGCGAGAGGGGGGTTGTGGGAGGGGGTTGGCTATGTTGTGTAGTGGAAGTGGGTGCTGAAGTGGCAGGTGCTATCAAAGGAAACGAGATCAGGGCTGTCGATTCAAGGGTATTTGCCCTTAATGCCCTGAACCTTCCGGGCAAATCCTTGACCAGCTTAGGCATTTTAAAGGGCTGGTTTCGAGGGGAGTCTGTTTTTTGTCTGTTTTTCTGTTTTAATTGGGGTCTCAACCCGGATTCGTTCAGGGATGGTTCGGGGTCCTTCCCTGATTTCCCGGGTCAGGAATACAGGTAGGCCCGCGAATATTTCAAGTTGTCAAGCTCTTCTCTTCCCGCTTTCATCACCCTCGTATTTCCCACACTCTATCTACTTTGGCTATGAAAGAACTTCTAGTGTTGATGTTATGTCTGTAGTTGCAAACAAATTCTAAAGCAGCCCGTCGCTTTCTCACACTGCTAAGTACTCATAGTGGGAACGCGACAGCAACACCACTATGTGGCGAGCAGGGACCCAGCCACATTGGTTCACATTAGTAGTACAGCACGAGATCCAAACCCCACGGAAGTGCTTTGTGATTGTACACCAAACTTCAAACCTTGCTGACTTTGCTCTTACTTACGAAGTTTTTGCCGATGTTGTTTCTGCTCACTATGGAATTGCCTACGAACCCCCTCCCTCTCCCCCTTGCATGACCAATAAGCAGGTAGAGATTTGTAGAGTCTTCTGAGTTCTGATCACTCCTTACTATGCTCCTTCGTGCTGCTAAGTAGTGGGAACATCTGCCTTAGTTACTTTAGAGCTAAAGTACACTTCCGAAAGTAGCCTGGGTTCTAAGTTCTAGATTCGGCCTGCGCACGCGAGCGTTAAGGGCGGAAAAACGGTCATCTTTGTGAAAATCAGGGCCAGAATAGGAGCAGCTCAGGACCCCAAGTGTTGGTCCCAGGGACTTCGACAGGCCTGAACGAGATCCGATCTCGCATGTGGTGTTCCTGGACCACGTGCTGCAGATGGGGGGAGAGAGGGAAGGGGACGGTAGCGGGGGGGCGGGGGAGGGGTTCTAAAAAAGACCTGCAGCGAGTGATGGCAAAAAAGCGCGATCCGATCTCGCATGTGGTGTTCCTGGATCACGTGCTGCAGGTCGCGGGGAAGGGGAGGGGTAAGTGTAGACGCGGGGAGGTGGGGTGTTGGGGAGATGTGTTATGTTCTTGTAGCAGGTGCCAGGAAAAACGAGATCCAATCTCGCATACGGTGTTCCTGGACCATGTGCTGCAGGTGGGGGGAGGGGGGGAGGGGAGGAAGGGGAGGGGTGGGTGTGTTGTTGTACGTAATGTGCTGCAAGTGAGGTGCACAAGAAGAGAGATCCCCTCTCACATGTGGTGTTCCTGGATCATGTGATGCAGGTGGGGGGAGAGGGGAAAGGGGGAGTGTGGGTGGGTGAGAGGAGGGGGGAAGGACCAGGGAAATTGGGTATTGAGGTGCCACAAGGAGTGGGATCCGATCTCGCATGTGGTGTTCCTGGATCACGTGCTGCAGGTGGGGGGGGGGAGGGGAGGTGGGTTGTGGCGAAGGTGTGTCATGTTCTTGGAGGGTGGGGTCTGTAGTGGTGGGGATAGGTGGGGATAGGTGGGGTATTGGCAGGTAGGTACTACATGAGCGAGACCCCATTCCCCCCCTCCCTCCCACCTCCCCATACCCCCATTCAGTCAGGGGACGCCCTTCCCACAGAGAGAGTGTGGGAAGCCCTACTCCGCACCTTCTCCTCGCAGCTGCGAGCCACGTTCACCGCCTCCTCCTTCGTCAAAGAGACCTTCGTCTCCGCCTTCCCCCGCCTCCTCGCCTCCCTTTAGGTCTTCTTTAATCGCCTGCAGGCTGAAACTTCCCCGCTGCTCTCCGTCTTCCCACCCTCCCACCCCCCCCCACCCGCGTCCAGTCAGGGGACGCGTTGCCAACAGAGCGGGTATGGGAAGCCTTACTGCGGGCCTTCTCATCGCAGCTGCGGGCCACGTTCACCGCCTCCTCCTTCGTCAAAGAGACCTTCGTCTCCGCCTTCCCCCGCCTCCTCGCCTCCGTAGAGACCTTTCTCGACCGCCTGCAGGCCGATACAGACGTGCGCGTGCTGGGGGGAGGGGGAGGGGGAGGGGGAGTCGGGGGAGGAGCGGGAGGAGGAGGGGGAGGGGGAGGGTTTGGGCTGGGAGCGGTTGGGGGCGGTGCTGTGGTGGCTGGTTCGTGGGCCAGTGGTGGCACTCCGCCGGTTATTTCTGTGGAGCATCGCGCGCAGATGCTGGCTGCTCTCGAGCCGTTTCAGGCGGCGTATCTGGCCCTCTCCCTCTCTAGAATGACTGATCCGATTAACACGATGATGCCAGCTGCAGGGGGCGGGAGGGGGGCCTTGCCGGGGCCGGAGGCGGGAGTGAGGCTTATAACGAGGATGGAGGAGGAGGTGGAGGCGGTGAAAGGCAATGGAAGGTTGCTGAGGCTCGTGCTGGCGAATGCAGGCAAGGCGCTGCAGCTTCTAGCAGAGCGATGCGAGTACCAGGTGGGTTTGGCTGATTTGATTTCTTTTGTTCGTGAGCATGTGTGTGTGTGGTAGTGTGAGGGGTTCAGAGGTGGAGGCGGTGAAAGGCAACGGGCGGCTGCTGAGGCTCGTGCTGGCGAATGCAGGCAAGGTGCTGCAGCTGCTGGCAGAGCGATGCGAGTACCAGGTGAGATGGGATGGGCGTGTGGATACCAGGTGGGTTGGGTGGGTCCTGTCCTGGTGCGATGGTGTGAGCTGTGGATGACAGATGCTGAGGCTCGTGCTGGCGAATGCAGGCAAGGCGCTGCAGCTGCTGGCGGGACTGTGTCAATACCAGGTGAGTGTGGTGTTTGTGTTTCCAGGCACGATGCTTGTGTGTATGCTAGGTTTACAGGCTCGTGCTGACGAATGCTGGCAAGGGGCGAATGCTGGCTGAACGCTGCGAGTAACAAGCCCTGAATCTCGTCAAGTCCTTGGTCCCTGCTCGCCAGTCCAGCAGCGTAAAATTGCTCTCTGTGTGTTTCTGGGAGCAGTGCACTCTCGCTGCATGCACCTGCTCATTCCGTTCCATCTCTACCTTCCCCCCCATGTCACATCCCCTGCCTTTACCCCCCATGCTCTCCAGGTCACCACCGGTGCTGAAGGGTGTTTTTGAGAATTCTCAAAAACTCCCCCCCGTGTCACATTCCCTGCCTTTACCCCCCATGCTCTTCAGGTCGCCACCGGCCCCGAATCCCGTCAAGTGCTTGCCCCCTGCTCGCCAGCGCAGCAGCGCAACATTGCTCTCTGCGTGCTGCTGGGGGCGGTGCACGCACGTTGCATGCACCTGCTCATTCATCTGTCCCTCTTTCCCCTCTCTTTCCTGTCCTTACCTTCACAGGTCGCCACCGGCCCTGAATCCCGTCAAGTGCTCGGCCCCTGCTCGCCAGCACAGCAGCGCAACATCTCCCTGTGTGTCCTCCTAGGGGCAGTGCACACTCGCTGCATGCAGCTGCTGGCCCGCCTGCCAGAGGAGGCAGACTCAGTGATGGAGGCGGGTGTGGGGTCCGTGCATGGGGTGGCCATGGACGCCGTGGCTCCGCTCTTCAAGGTGGGTGTGAGGTTTTACTGCCTACATTCACCACATCATCCCTTCGTGCATGGGGAAGAGGTGCACTGGCTAGGAGCGGTGCACTCACACACGCTGCATGCAGCTGCTGGCCCGCCTGCCAGAGGAGGCAGACTCCGTGATGGAGGCGGGTGTGGGGTCCGTGCACGGCGTCGCTGTGAATGCTGTGGCTCCGCTCTTCAAGGTGGGCTTGTATGATGCTTCGTTCACACACTGGGGGTTCATCTCGTCATGTTTCATCCGCACGCACAATTGGTTTGGTTGTGGCTTGCGCCGTGCTTCTTGCACCGTGATGGAGGCGGCGGGTGTGGGTGGGGTCCATCCATCCATGCATGGAGTCGCCATGGACGCCGTGGTCCCGCTCTTCAAGGTGCGCTCATACCATGGTATGCCATGCTCCATGGACACGCTGTGGCTGGCTGCACACGCCTTCGCCAGCATGTTTCCCCTCGCCAGCCCGTGTGCATGAGTGAGATTTGGGATTGATCTGTGTGGTTGTGTTGGGTCGTACTGCTGCCTGCACCTGCACCTGCCCAGGCAGTGCGGGGCCGCATCGAGGCCTGCCTCCTCCAGATCCACCAGCAGGATTTCGCCTCAGACGACCCCAACATCTATCCCTCAACCTCTCACCCCGTTCCTCTTGATGCTGTTTTCCTACTGCCCTCCCTCTCCAGGCCATGCTGGACCGCATCGAGGCAAGCCTCCTGCAAATCCACCAGCAGGACTTTGCATCAGACAAACCCCAACACCCTTTTCTTACTCATATCCCCACTCTTCCCTCCCTGTTCCCAGGCCATGCGCGACCGCATCGAGGCCTGTCTCCTGCAGATCCACCAGCAGGACTTCTCTTCAGACGACCCCAACGCGCCTCCCGCCTCCACCACCCCGCCACCCCCCGGCGCTGCCTCAAGAAACCGCACCAGCAGCGGAGGCTCCAGACCAGCCCAGAAACAGAACCAGCAGCAGCACGAGTCAGCGGGTGACAACTGCTCGCCATACATGGAGAACACCATCCGAGCCATCTCCCACTTCCACACCGAATTCACCTCCAAACTTCTTCTCCCTGACTCCTCCTCCTCTACCTCCTCCTCCGCAGCGCCGGCCTCGTCTATATTCGCCGCATCTCTGTCTGGTGCCGCTGCCTCGGGCCCTCTCTCCCCCTCCACGGCCCTGCCCCCTGCGACTGTGTCAGAGCCTGTTGCCCAGTCCCTTGCAAAGCGGTAAGCTCGATATTCCGGATGTCTCTGTCTCATCCATATTCTAAGCACCTCTGTCGGGTGCTGTGGGCTCGGGCCCTCTCTCCCCCTCCACGGCCCTGCCCCCTGCGACTGTCTCGGATCCTGTTGCCCAGTCCCTCGCAAAACGGTAAGCTCGAGACGTCTTTGTGTCGTCCATATTCGCTGCATCTCTGTTGGTTGCTGCTGCTGCCTCGGGGCGGCTGAGGCTGAACTGACTCTCTCTGTTCCCCCATTCCCCCACGCTGCTCTTCTTCGTCCGCCACGCCGTGCTGGTGTGGCCGCTATCAGAGGCGGGGAGGCTGAGGCTGTGCTCTGTCCCACCCTCCCCCCGTCTCTCCCCATTCCCCACCTGTTCCCTCGTTCTCTCCCCGATCAGGTTGGCATCTCACATGCTGCTCTTCTTTGTGCGTCACTCCTCTCTCGTACGGCCACTCTCAGAGGCGGGGCGGCTGAGGCTAGCGAGGGACATGGGCTAGCTGGAGTTCGCCGTGGGGCAGCAGCACCTCTTCCCTCTTCCCTCTTCCCACCTCCCTGTTCCCACTTCCCTCATCCCCCCTCCCCATGCCCCTCCCTTTCACGCCTCGCTCGCTCCCCCTCTCCCACCCTCTTCCCCCCCATCCCAGCCTTGCATCTCGCACACTATTATTCTTCGTCCGCCACGCATCGCTGGTGCGCCCGCTATCGGAGGCGGGGCGGCTGAGGCTGGCGAGGGACATGGGCGAGCTGGAGTTCGCAGTGGGGCAGCACCTCTTCCCCACGCACGCCCTGGGGGCATCCTACCGCGCCCTCCGTGCATTCAGGCCGCTCCTCTTCCTCGATCTTGATAAGATCCCCACCAGCTCACTGCTGCAGGTGAGTCCGTTGGTTGCATCAAAGGTGTTAGCCAATCTGCCAGTCCTGGTCAACTCCCAGTGTGGGTTCCCATCGCAGTGGGGCAAGAGACATGGGTGAGCTGGAGTTCCCAGCGGGGTAGCAGCTCTTCCTTACTCATGCCGTCGGGGTCTGCCGACTGCTTCATATCGTTCATGTCCTTTACGTATTATCACATTCGTTAACCTCCACCGCTAGTGCTTCGTCCGTCCACCACCAGTTGTGAAGTCATGGCGTCTAGTCAGCGGATGATGCGGAAGGAAGCTGTACTAGTGCTTAATACCGCTCAAAAGTGCTAGTACGGCTCCTTCGGCATCATCCGCTGACCAGACGTCATGACTTCACAGCTGGTGGTGGACGACGCACAAGCACTTGAGGTTAACGAACGTGGTAATACATAAAGGCAATGCATGAAATGAAGCAGTCGACAGATGACTCTGAACTCTAGAACTCGGATGTTATGATGTCGATTGTGCCCAAATCACTAGTATTTTTTCATTAACACATAACTCTTCAAGTATTTATTTCATACTACATATAGCATGAGGTTTGCAGTGGGGCAGCACATCGCACCCACACACACCCTCGGCGTCTCCTACCGTGTCCTCTGCGCCTTCAGGCCTCTTTTGGTTCCTAGACCTTTTGAATATCCCAACCATCATTCTCTGTCCTGTCACTCCCGCTCTATGATGAAAGAGTTGTTGTGAAAACTCACAAAAATGTTCACTCACTTCCGCTCTCCCCGCTTGCTCTCATGTCTCCCCTTGCCCCTTCTACCCAGGACCTCCCTCCAAGCGTCGTGCTTCACCACCTCTTCTCCCGCGCGCCCACCGAGCTGCTCTCTCCCTTCACGCGCATCCAGCAGCCCCCAGCGCGCTACTCGCTCTGGCTGGACCAGCACTCGCAGCAGCAGGCGTGGCAGGGCTCAGAGCAGCACACAGAGAGCAGCATATATGCACAGCACACCCATTCACTCCCTTTTTCTTCTCTTGTTCACCTGTAACCCTGTTCCCTCTTTCCCGCAGGACCTTCCTCCAAGTGTTGTCCTGCATCATCTCTTCTCTCGCGCACCCCGCGAGCTGCTCTCTCCCTTCACGCGCATCCAGCAGCCCCCAGCGCGCTACTCACTCTGGCTGGACCAGCACTCGCAGCAGCAGGCGTGGCAGGGCATCAAGGCATCATTAGACGACTACGTGGGGAGTGTCAAGGCGAGGGGTGGGAAGGAGTTTCATCCGGTTTATTCTGTCATGCTGCAGCTGGGACAGGCTCTGCTGGCGGGAGGCAGTGAGGGCAAGTAGTCTCAGAACTGGTGGTGGGAGGGAGTTCAAGTGTATGGTAGGTGCTGCTGATGGCACAGTGGGATGGGCAGCTAGACCTGTGATGAGTTGGACCCTGTGATGGGTTGCTTCGTTTTGTGGGATGCACACTCATGGAAATTTATATAAACAAATTACAACAACGCAACCTCTCTCTAGTTCTACAATACAACACTAGTAGAACAGACGAAACCCACTCTTCTGCCATCCTCCTCAACCATGTGAAAAAGACGACATCCTGAGGCGTTTCAACACAACATCGCATCAACCAGCACACGTGCACTCTCTTGAGCTTCCACCATCATACATTGCAACTGACGGGAGGCCTAAGACAAGACGCTGACTGGACATAGCGCGGAGACGAGAGAGGGACGGGTGACCAAGGCGGTGGTGCCAGAGGAGGACAGGGTGGGACAGCGACCGACACGAGCACGACGCAGCCACTAGACCTGGCACAGCTACCTGACTGGACCTGGCTACCTGGTGGGACAGGGGAACCGGACGGGTGTCGGTGTGGAGGGTGTACAGACCAGAGCCCGACTCCTGACGAAAAGTGGCCAGAGGGGCGTACGTGTCACCGTCCACACAGACTGCAGTGTCACCAAAAGGCTCAAACCAGACCCCGACGTGCTGTCTCGCCAGAGGAGCCACACCAACCAGGTTCCTAGAGAAAGTAGGAACGTGGAGGCCGGTCAGAGAACCGGAAGGGGCAGCTGGGCACGGGAGGGTAGTGGCGTGAGTCGCAATGACCGGTCCCGAAGAGGGATCAGCCAGTGCTACAGGAACCGGCGCCGAGAGTGGAGTAAGAGTCGTGCTGTCGCGGAAGAAGCACTGCGTCGCTCCGGAGTCCAGTGTGAAGGAGAGCGACGCGTCCGCCGAGGGAGCACCTGTACTAGTAGCTAGACAGGATCCTACACCAGCACCTACTCTAGCAACAGGCAAAGATCCTACGCTAGGTACAGGCAAGTAAACAGATCCAGCAGCACTATAGTCAACATCAGCATACATCGCATAAGACCTAGCAACATCCATAGACATATCAAACACCGCAACACCACGAGCAAGGAGTGGTCCCCAGCGTGGTGGCGGGGGAGCGGAGGGGCCGTGGTGCAGGACGTACAGGTCGTCGAGACGGCTGAAGCAGCGTGCAGCAGAGTGGTCAGGGCGGCCGCAGTACGTGCCCCTGCGCGGACCCGTCAGGATCCAGTACTCACAGGGACCAACGTCGCGGCCGGCCGAGCGGGGTCCCCGACTAGAAGGGGCACCACTGCGCCCAGTGCTCGGGGGGCCCGTAGGTCTCCACTGCTGCGCGGGGCCCCACTGCTGCGAAGGACCCCACTGCTGCTGAGTGCCGCACTGCTGCTGAGTGCCCCACTGCTGGGGCTGCTGCTGAGGCGGACGCTGCTGCTGGCCCTGGCGCTGCTGCTGCTGTCCCTGCCGCTGCTGATGTCCAGGCGGTGGCAGCTGCGGAGGAGTCTGCTGCTGCTGCTGCGAAAACCCCTCACCACCGTCTAGAGGAGAGCCGTCAGGTCCGGAGTCACCCCCGCCTCCACCCCCGCCACTAGTACTACCGCCACCGCCGCCACCCGCAACACCCCCAGAACCCCCGCCGCCCTTCCCTCCCTTCTTGCCGGACTTGCCACGTTTCTGTCCGCCAGAGACAGAAACGGCCGCCGTCTCCTCAGAGGCAGAAGACGCGGCAGTGGCAAGCGAGGCAGTGAAGGTGGGAAGCTGTGGTACCGCACACCCCTCAAAGAGACGAGGAGGAGGCGCGGAAGAGGCGGAGGCAACAGCGAGGAGGTTACTCTCGATCTTCGAGAGAGCGGTCTCAAGAAGATCGATAGTAAGCTCAGTGGGGTGCTTCAGGAGAAGCGCGTCGCGGGCTGTGGCTAGACGGTCAGGGAGGCGAGTGACTAACCAGTGAATAGTGAGCCACATGGGGGGGGGTGCAAGGGCAAGCTGTTCCTCAGTGCAAGCGGCCTTGAAGCGAGCTTCAAGGGAGCGCAGGTGGGTAGCGAGGTCAGCGACAGTCTCAAAGGAGGCGAGGTCAGGGTAGATAAAGGGGACGAGAAGGCGGCTGAGGGAGGCAGAGGAGGGAGTGGAGTAGCGAGCAACAATAGCAGTGTAAAGGGCTGCAGCAGACTCGACCTGAGTGAAGTGGACGGCCTCAGTCGGCGGGAGAAGGTCGGTCAGGGCGAGGCAGGCAGCAGCGTCACGAGACTCCCACACGTCACGAGCGAGGAACCGGCGCTGGTACTCAGCCTCCTGCTCGGAAGTAGGCAGTGGGGTAGTGGGCAGCGGTGTAGGCTGCGGCGGGGCGGGCAGAGCACCGGACGCATGCGCAAACAGGTGCACGCCATCCTGGCGCTGGCTCCTAAGGTGGCGCTGGGCCTGCGTCAGCCAGGTACTAAAGTCGATCGCGCGCCCCTCAGGGTCGAAACGGAGCACGCGAGACGTCGCCATGAGGGGCGAGAACAAGTGATAGCGGCCGCCAGCCGCGAGAGGAGGAGGAGAGGGAGGTGAGTGCGAGGCGGGTGCGCGCAGGCGGGGCGCGTTCTGGCTGGGCGCGGGGCGGCGGGGCGCGCGCTGGCGGGGCGCGCTGGCTGGCGTGGCGCGCGGGCGCGGCGCGCTGGCGGGCGGCTAGGCAGGGCGCGCGCTGGCGTGCGCGCCGGCGGGGCCCGCTGGCGCGGGGCGCTGGCGGGCGCGCTAGCGGGCGCGCTGGCGTGCGTGCTGGCGGGCGCGCTGGCGGGCTCGCTGGCGGGCGCGCTGGCGAGCTCGCTGGCGGGCGCGCTGGCAGGCGAGCTGGCGGGCTCGCTGGTGTGCTCGCTGGCGGGCGCGCTGGCGGGCTGGCGCGCAGGCTGGCCGGCGCACTGGCGCGCTGGTTGGCTGGCGGGCTAGCGCGCTGGTTGGCAGGCGCGCTGGCTGGCTTGCGCGCTGGCTGGTTGGCGCGCTGGCTGGCTGGCGTGCGCGCTGGCTAAGGGCGGGGAGGGGAGGGGCGCGCCGGCTGGGGCGTGGGGTAGGGCGCTAGCGGGCTGGCGGGGCGCAGTGGTAACCCTAATGGTAGGGACGGGCGGGCCTAGGGCTAGGAGCGCTAACCTACTGCTGATACCATGTCTGAATGAGAACTACAGCGGAATGTGTAGCATTGACAGAATTGGGGTACATAACCTAACCCTAACTAGTTGTACCCCATATAGCCCAACCCACTACAGGCTATAATATTTGACACACCCCCATAGCCTAAGTGGGGAAGGCCAATCAACAACAAGCAACCTACGGTCACAAGACCAGTCAAAAGCAAGAGAAAGAAAACAAAGCTCAGGGTGGATCACAACGTCACCACCTAATCTGAGCACAAGCAAAGGGCCACAAGGCCAGTCCAAAAGTGTGCAAACAAATATATATAAGGTACAAGCAAGCAACAGACAAAGAGCACCCTACAGCAGTCAACTAGACCCAGTCTCAACGAGGCCTAACTGCAGACAAAACCGGCGGTGGTCACAAGGCTGGAGGGCCTTGGTGAAGATGTCTGCAGTGTTGGCCTCGGAGGCCACAAACTCCAGACGAGCCTGCCCGCGTCTCTGCAACTCTCGAAGGAGGAAGTACCTGACGTCGATGTGCTTCACTCTGCTCTCCAGTCGAGGCTCACGACACAGGAGAATCATCGCCTTGTTGTCAGCAAACAAGGTCGGTGCAGAGCTCGGCCGCTCACCAAGGTTAGTGAGCAAGAAGGTCAACCAGCGTAGCTCCTGTGCAGCGAGGGCTCCAGCGTAGATCTCGGCCTCTGCGGTAGAAGTCGCAACAGAGGAGGACCGAGTAGACCTCCACGAAACAGCTCCAGAGCCCAGGCTGAAACAGTAACCCTGTGTAGACCTCTGTGACTCAACGTCGTCGGCGTAGGAGGAGTCGCAGTGACCGGTGAGTACAACTGGCTGTGTCCCTCCAAGTACAAGCCCCATGTCTGATGTCGCGCCGAGGTACTTCGCCACCCTCTTAGCCGCCGCCCAGTGAACAGGACGGTGTCTCCCTGTCGCAACAAAGCGAGAAAGGATGCTAAGAGGGAAGGCGAGGTCCGGGCGAGTGCATGTCATCAGGTACATGAGGCAGCCCACCAACTCTGCGTAGGGACCACTGGGCTCGAACGGCTCGTCAGGAAAAGGCCCAGTGAGTCTGTGGTCTACAGCAAGAGGGGTGGGAGGAGGAGAGGAGTGCTGAAGCCCGAACCGCTGAAGGACCTGCTGCACCATGTGTGACTGAGTCAGAGTGATGGTGCGAGCGGCTCTGTCCCTGGAGATCTGTAGGCCAAGGTAGCGGCGCAGTTCCCCAAGGTCAGTGCAGGTGTGTCTCTTCTGCAGTTCGGACTTCACCTCCGCCAGTGCAACTGTGTCGGCTGTGGCAAAAACCAGGTCGTCAACGTAGACAAGAACAAAGAAAGGTGTGCGCCCACGACGAACAAACAGCGACGGGTCGGCGGAAGACGGCTCAAACCCAAGGTCGGACAGAGTAGAGCGGAGAGTGTCGTGCCACTCACGGGGTGCCTGGCGGAGACCGTAGACCGGTCGTCTGAGGCTCCACTGGGTCCCAGGCGGGAAAGTGCCAGTGAAGCCCGGAGGACGACGCAGCCAGATCTCCTCGTGTAGGCTGCCCTGCAAGAAGGCAGTGGAGAAGTCGAGAGAGTGTAGCTCGTAGTCTCTCTGCGCTGCTACGTGCAGTAACACCCGAAGAGTGGTCATCTTCGGGGTGGGCGCAAAGGTCTGAAAGAAGTCAACTCCCTCACGCTGACTGAAACCTCTAGCCACGTAGCGTGCCTTGAAGACTGGAGGAGATCCCGGCGGCCGCTTCACCTTGAAGATCCACATGCCGTCAACAATGTTCGCCCCTGGGGGGGGAACCTCGTCAACGTAAGTGCCTGTGGACCTGTAGGAGACGCGCGATTATGGATGATGATGATGATGAACTCGAGGACGGAGAGGTGTGACATC